GATTTTAAGTAGATATATAACAAGTATGTAACAAGTCAGAATGATGTAACTATAGCAACAAAATGCAAATATAGTCCTTACTGTGCTTACTTACTTGAAAAAAATCTAAAAGGCACCCCTGTAATATCTTCCCCCTTTATAATAAGCAAAAATAAAAACAAAACAATTAAAATCATTCCTTTACCCTACTGCTTCCTCAGCTGCAAGTTTTTCTGTTCCTCTTTACAGAAAACTTCTTGAAATATTTATAGTCACTATTTCAACCACTTCATCGCCTCACATTTCTCAACCTGCTTCAGAGTTGGTCACTAATGGTACCATGTTGCTAAATCCAATGGTCATTTTTATATTCCTTAACTTTCAAGAGCACTCAGCAAAACTGACTGTTCTATTCTACTTTTTAAAATTTTTTTTATTTATTTATGTATACAAGAACTGGAGTACAAGCCAGAGATGTGGGGGTGAGAGAATTCACACGAGTAAGAGTGGGGAGCAGAACAAGCAGATCTACTGAAATACACTGCTGAGGGGAGCAGCCAGCAAGACAGGAGAGGTCTCCTGTGCCATGTGGGTTGCTCCCTAGCCCACTGAGAAAAGTGATCAAACTCGTGCTGCAGATGCTGCCAATAGCTTGAGGCCCATGTTCTCTTTTTTTTTTTTTTTTTTTTTTTTTAAGATTTATTTATTTATTTATACAAGCACTGGGTACAGTCAGAAGCGTGGGAGGGTGAGAGAATTCACCAGAGCCAGAGCGGGAACAGAACAGGAAGAGTGATGAAATATACTGCTGAGGGAGCAGTGGGGGAGGGGGGGCAGGAGAGGTCTGCGTGCCATGTGGGACCCTCGCCTGTGGCTGGGGATCCCTGGCACTGCAGAGGCTGCGGGCAGCTTCGCAGCCCAGCACTCAACTGCTGCGCCACCAGGGGAGGCCCGCATGTTCTCCTTTCTTACAACTTTTTTTCTTTGAGTTCTGATCCCTTTTTTTGCAGGCCTTCATGGTGTCCCTTCTCAGACTCCTTCATTAGTTTTTTCTCTTCTCAATTATCTCCCTAGGTCGACCTCACAATCTAATTACTTTCCTAGGTGACTTCATCAAATTCAATCACTTTACCTCATATCACTTCCCCTCATTGCCTATGTCTTGGTCATTATGACTTCTATTTCCTTAACAAATTAAATGCATTTTCAGGAAACTTATGGACTTTACATTAGCTGTTACCTCAGCCTAGTTCTTCCCCAGTCCTTTTTCATATGGTTACCTCCATTCTTTCATTTATCAGCAACTTAAATTTTACCTCTTATGACTTTCCCTGGCACCCAGCTAAAGAAGCCACTCAAATGCTCCCAATTACATCATTCTATTGTTAATCTTCTCCAAAACACATCATTACCTGGATCATCCACTGGAATGTAAGTCCATGAAAACAAGAACAGTCAAAATTCCCTGTCCACATGGAATTTAGTCTGGTGGGTGAAGTCAAGTAGATCATACAGTATATGAGAATATAAGTGCTAGAGAAAAATAAAGCAAGGAAGAGTGACAGGAATTGTCTGTTTCACCATGAGGTTGTTTGCAATTTGAAACTCAGTTGTCTGGAAGGGCTGCACTCAGAACTGATACTGAGTAGTTTTGAAGGAGGCAAAGGAAACCTCAAATGTAAGATTCTGAGGTGACTGTGTGTGTGATAGGCTTGCAGTAATACCAAAAAGGCCACTGTGGTTGCTATAAAAATAAGCAAGTGGTATGTAGCTGGAAATGAAGTCAGAGTGTGGGAGGCAGATCAAGAAATGACTTGGATCTTTACTTGAAGAATAAGTAACAACTAGTGCAAAGTTTCAGCAGAGGAGTAACATTTGAATTATCACCTCTCTGGCTGCTGTGTTGATAAACAGATGGCAGGACAAGGGCAAAAAGCAGGGAGAGAGTAGGAGGCAACTGCAATAATCTAGAAGAGAGGTGGGACTTCCATATAGTTGTGTCACTTTTAAATAGAAGATTCCATGAGGTAAGTACAACAAAGTCCTCTGTATACTCATATTCCTTATCACAGTGTCTAGTTTTGCTGGACATTCAGTACATATTTGTTAATTTTAAATGATATAAAAAGCATACTGAATTCACTGGATAAAGCAAGGACCAAAGAGTGGGTTATTTCTAAGAATAAATTCTCTGGATTTGTGGATATTTTAATCCACAATTATTTCACTAACACAATTTGACCCTTTTACTCAGTCCCATTTTACACCTAGACCATTTGCTAAGGAAATAGCCCACTGAAGTGTATTTATTTTAACTTGTAAAGGAGAGGTACTAAACCCAGGCAAAATAGTAAGGCATTCGATTGCACCCCACCTTGCCGATAACCTAAAATATCAACCTAATATTTAAGCATCTATTTCATGCAAATCATTATACTAGACATTGGGGAATACATAGGACAAATTCCTTTTCTCAATTTACAGTCAAGTGGAATACATAAAACACTGTAGACAGAAAGATAAGATCCAAGGCACTGTGAGTCAAAGGTTAAGTGCAGTTACCGAAGTTGCTCCTTTCCCTGCTTTCTGCTTTCCATCATGGTCAATCTTGGTCTGAAAAGATTATATAAAGAAGATATTTTAGAGAGATCATATTTACCTAGCTTTATTACAGTATGTTGCTAAAATTGCTCTACTTTATTATTAATCTGTATTGTGCCTCATTTATAAATTAAACTATCATAGGCATGTACCGGGAAAGACAGCAGGTATGGGGTTCTCTCCTATGTCTGGTTTGAGGCATACACTGGGAGGTCTTGAAATGAATTCCCCCTTTCTCATGAAGGTTAGATTACTGTATTTAAATTTGATCCCAAAGAGTGAATCGAACTTGGAAGATGAATAGGAGAGGAAAGCGAATCCAACATGAGCTATTTGATATGGGATTTATAATTAATTTCTAGATTTAAATAATTAATAATAATAATAATAAAGCTAGAGGAGAAAGCCCACCACAGTGACACCAAAACAAGCTTTAAAAGTAAACTTGGAGGGGGTCTCCCTTGGTGGCGCAGCGGCTGAGCCCTGGGCTGCGAAGCTGCCTACAGCCTCTGCAGTGCCGGCTCGATCCCCGAGCACCGGCGAGGGTCCCACATGGCGCGACAGACCACTTCTGCCACGCCGGTTCTGTTCCCCGCTCTGGCTCTGGTGAATTCTCTCACCCTCCAGCGCTTCTGACTGTACCCATTGCTTGTATGAATAAATAAATAAATCTTTTTAAAAAAAAAAAAGTACACTTGGAGGGCCTCCCTGGTGGTGCAGGCGGTTGAGCGCAGTACTGTGAAGCTGTCTGCAGCCTCTGCAGTGCCAGTTCGATCCCCCCGCCCTCAAAGCAACCCACATGGAAGCAGACCTCTCTTGTCTCGCCCGCTGCTCCCCTCAGCAGTCAATCTGCCTGTTCTGTTCCCCCATCTGTCTCTGGTGAATCCTCTCACCCTCCTGCTCATCTGGCCAGTACCACAGGTCTTGTATAAATAAAATGAATCTTTAAAAAAAAAAAAAAAAAAAAGGGCCTCCCTGGTTGCTTAGCGGGTTGAGCACCGCGCTGTGAAGCTGTCCGCAGCCTCAGCAGTGCAGATACAATCCCAGCTGGCCGGGGAGAATCCCACATGGCGCGGCAGACCTCTCCTGTCTTGCCTGCTTCTCCCCTCAGCAGTATATTTAAGTCAGTCTGCCTGTTCTGCTCCCCGCTCTTTCTCTGGTGATTCCTCTCACCCTTTTGCGGCTCTGGCCCGCATCCCAGCTGTTGTATAAAAATAAATAAATTTTTTAAAAAAGTGGATAAAACCCAAGTACAGACAAGTAGGAAGGTGAAAACTTTGTGGTTCCCTAACAAGAACCCAATTTACAGCAACCAGCTGCTTAAGTAGCTTACATTTCTCACTGATGCATTTTATAGTCAAGAGGCCTAAGTAGGCCAATGTGGACTTGACTGAGAAGTCAGGTTTTTATTGAACATCTAATAGGCTGGGAATTGTGCTCCACATTACTCACATCTTTTCCTAGGGCAGTGTTGACAGAAAACACAACGTGGGCAAAAACTGACCAATAATCCACAGTGACTGCACGTCTAAGTTAAATAACTGAGGAGGGCTTTGGGTACAGTCCAGTTTTCCTGAACCCATTTCCCCACCATTTAATTACACCCAATGGTGTGTACTGGCAAAAAAAAAAAAAAGAGTGTCTCCCACACGGGTTATTATGGCACCTTGTATTCTGATTCAAGACAGACAAGGAAGCAAAACTTGAGAAATTGCTGGTAAATGACCCCAACGACCTGGCCACCAGGGATGGCCAGAGATGTTGCCTCTGGCCGCCTGAGTCCCCGTGGGCCTCTGGCTAAAGTAGGATGCTGGTGTGGTGCCCACCAACTCTCAAGCGCCCTTGGTCCTCCCAGGTGGCAGCTGGGGACACCTGGCTGGGTGGGAGGTGAAAACCAGGTAGCCTGAGAGCAGGTTTTCTTTCCTTTCTTTTTTTTTTTTCTTTTTTAAAGATTTATTTATTTATGCATACAAGAACTGGGGTATAGGCCAGAGATGCAGAAGATGAGAGGATTCACCAGAGACAGAGTGGGGAGCAGAACAGACAGACTGAAATACACTGCTGAGGGGAGCAGCGGGCGAGTCAGGAGAGGTCTGCTGCACCATGTGGGTAGCTCCCTGGCCAGCCAGGGCTCGAACTCGCGCTGCATTTCCTTCCACCTCCCACCACGCGGCAGACAGCCACGCAGCCTTTTTTAAAACACTCTCATTTGGCTCGTCCCAAGCAAGCCGCTCGCGATCGAAGTCCGCAGCGGCCACGCAGGAGGCCGGGCTGGGTGGCGGCGCGCCAGGGCTGGCCCACAAGTCCAGAGGAGCCGCGGGCGCGGCCTGGACGCAGACTCCGGGCCGACGGCGACGCCCCCGGCGCGCGAACCAGGAAATAGACGCGGACTGACTCCTCTCGCTTCCCGTAGTCACCCGCGGACGCCGGGCCGGGGCGCCGGGCGACTAGTCGCGCCAGACAGTCGCCTGCGTGGAGCGCTCGCGACGCTAGTCAGTCCCGGGGTGAGTGGCCGAGGGGTGACCTCGCGGGGGGCGGCGGCGGCTGTGGTGGGCGCGTCCCTCGCGGAGGGAATGCGGCTGTCGCTGTGTACGGAGCAGACTCTGGTGGGAGGAGCGGTCTCGGGTCACCCCTCTCCCGCCTGTCCTCGCCGCCTCCAAGTCGAGACTGGGCGGCGGGGAAACAGCGGTGCGGGCTGGGCGGCTGGGGAATAAGAGCTGTGCTCGCGAGTCACGGCGCTTCCCAGAGTTCGTGGCTTCTGGCTGGCTGTTGGCACGGAGGGGCGCCCCCGCTGCAAACCCACCCCACAGGGCTGCCTGCTCACCTGCTGCTCCCAGCCCGAGGGCCAGAGCCACCTGCTCGCAGAGTGACCCGGGGAAAGTTTCCTGGCCGTAATTTTCAATGACAGTTCCTTACATTTATTCATTTTATTTTATTTTGTATATTTTTTACATCATTTTTCATTTTTGCACAATGTATGCATTTTCATCTTGGTTATAGTCCCCATACAATTCCCACCACCCTTATTTTGACCCTAATCTCTCCACCCTCCCGCCACCCCCACCCCCTCCCCACCATGTGTCTCTGGTTTATAGTTGCTTGTTGATTTTGATTTTTACTTTATTATAATTAGTCTTTTTTCTGGTCCCTTATTTAGGTTTTTTTAATTCCTGCTATGAGTGAGACCATCCGGTATTTTTCTTTTTCTTTTTGGCTTATTTCGCTGAGCATGATCCCTTCCAGCGCCATCCATGTTGCTGCAAATTGCATGTGCTTATCTTTTTTGAATGCTGAGTAATGTTCCATGGTGTATATGTACCACATCTTCTTGATCCAGTCATCTGTTTTTGGGCATTTGGGTTGTTTCCATAGCTTAGCTATTGTAAATAGTGCTGCTATAAAAATAGGAGTGCAGGTGCCCTTTTGAATTCATGATTCTGTGTCCTCTGGGTACAGTTCCTTACATTTAATGGCAGACCTCCCTCGGTTGCTCTCCTCTACCCTTAACGTGTCCTTTTAAGATGCGGAGTCATTTGACAGTGGCGGTAAACATTTGGAAATGTGAGTCATCAAAATGCTTTTGTCTGCAAAACGCTAGTGATTGACTCTTGTGAAGCGAATCTTAGTGTTAACAACTGGACCTGTCCGATGGATACTTGGGGAATGACTGGTTTCATGCAAGTCCTGTCTTAAGATGGGTCACTCTCCGACCACGATGTAAATAAATTATGAATGTGTTTATGGCAGTTATGTATTGTTCTTTTTGCTCTTGGTTTAAAAAATACATCAATGGGAAATTTCTAACATTCTGAATTTTAGGAAGCAGAACAAGAGTTTTGAGGTTTTGACTAACACTTGTAAATAATGTAAACCAAGAAGGATGCAGCTTTTCGTAATAGAGACACACAGATGTGTTCAGTGCATATTGCTGAAAAGAAGGAAATTGTAGGAAGTTTCGGTTTTGCTTCTCTCATTTCTGCTTGATCTTAAAGGCTTCCTTCCCTGGAGCTGTTAAATGTCGTATCAGTGGGTACTGTGATCTTTAAAACTAGCAGGTGCTCCCCCTAAACCCCTTTTGGAAGCTGCAGAGTATACTGTATCAATAATATACTAGGGATTGGAATTTTTCCCTTTGACTTGTTTAATTTGAAGGCAGAAGAGCAATCCCTTCTATTAACAATAATAGATAAAACTTACAAGGTACATATTGTTTTAATTCATTTAATCCTCAAAACAATAGGATGAATAAAAATATTCTCATTTTATAGATGAGGAAAGCCAAATGAATATTTCTGATAGTTGTGCAGGAATATTTGTTATTTTATTTCAGTATTTTTATAAATACATTCAATGTTACAAATTTTCTACTAATATTGTTTTATTTTTTAAATTTTATTTTATTTTTTTAAAGATTTATTTATTTATACAAGCACTGGGATACAGACCAGAGGCGGGAGGATGAGAGAATCCACCAGAGACAGAGAAGGGAACAGAACAGGCAGAAGGACCAAAATACACTGCTGAGGGGAGCAGCAGGCGAGACAGGAGAGGTCTGTTGTGCCACGTGGGAATCTCCCCGGCCGGGTGGGAATCGATCTGGCGCCACAAAAGCTGCACGCAGCTTCACAGTGCTGCGCTCAAACTCGCTGCGCAGCAGGGAGGCCCCCATTTTTTTAATTTTAATTTATTTTATTTAAAGATTCATTTATTTATACATACAAGAACTGGGGTACAGGCCAGAGGTGCGGTGGGTGAGAGGGTTCACCAGAGACAGTGGGGAGCAGAACAGGCAGAGTGAAATACACTGCTGAGGGGAGCAGCAGGCGAGTCAGGAGAGGTCTGCTGCACCATGTGGGTAGCTCCCTGGCCAGGTATGGAACTCGTGCTACAGTGGCTGCAGTTAGCTTCATAGGTTTCGTCTTAACTCCTTTTACCACCGGGGAGGCCCCGTATTTCCTACATTTGTAATCCAATGTTATTTAATATGTAAGCACACTAGGTAAGAATTTGGGTCAGATCTTTGTGATAGCCTCTTTATTTGGTAAATATCAGTAAAATTATTTAAATTTAAAAATAGTTATGGGCCTCCCCTGGTGGCACAGCGGTTGAGCGCTGGGTTGCGAAGCTGCCCGCAGCCTCTGCAGAGCCGGTTCAATCCCCAGCTGCTCCCCGGCCACCGGAGGAGGGTCCCGCATGGCATGCAGACCTCTCCTGCCGCCCGCTGCTCCCCTTGTCAGTGTACTTCGGTCCTTCTGCCAGCTCTGCTCACCACTCTGGCTCTGGTGAATTCTCTCACCCTCCCGCGCTTCTGACTGTACCCAGTGCTTGAATAAATAAATAAATAAATAAATAAATAAATAAATAAATATTTAAAAAAATAAAAATAGTTATGATATGAAGAAAGATGATGTATGCTTATTTTTCTTTCCTTCTGCTTTGACTTTTCACAGGGCAAGTAGCTTCAGTTTCAATCTGGGAAGTCTTTAAATGAAACTTGCTTAAAATATTTTATCATCAGAAGAGAAACCTGTGTCAGCAGTAAGGTGGAAAAGAATGATGTTGTCCTTAAAGAATTTGCAGAATGTCATCCACAACCCGGTAACTCATTTCTATAAAATCACTCTTACTGTGGCAGCACTGAGAGTAAATCCAATTAGATAGTAATTATCCATGACTTGGGACAGGGAATGGGGGCAAATTCTGTACACATGAAAGACACCTACTATGTGATAGGGACTGCAGTGGTGATTGAAAAATAGATACGTCTCTTAGAGTACAGACTAGTGAAAGGTAAGTTCACGGTTACAATACTAGGGCATGAGAATGGTGTTATGAACCGAGAACATGTATACAGTGGAGAAGCCAACTTTTGGTGGGGAGGCTCAGATAATCATAAGACATAATTTTCAAATGAAATTGGATTTCTTACTCAGTTTCTGATTTTCTTTTTTAATTAGTCCTTTTCACGAGAAGGTAATGTTTCTAGCTTTCCCCTCTGCTTTTCAAATACTGGTTGACACTTAAGCAGGGAAGATGGCAGAAGCTAATCGTACAATGGAGAATGAGAAAATTAAGTGTCTTATTGGGTCTTAGACTGGTCCAAGAATCCCTGAATGACTATAAATTCTGGAAATTTTATTGTACATCTAGGAAATAACAGACTTTCCTTGTGTCTGAAGCTGAATCTTGAATTTAGGTCTAAGATGGAGTTGCTGTTTTTCTAAACACCCTAGAAGACCTTTGGGCAGTAGGGATGTAAGGCTTTAGACCTGTCTTATTAGTATATATGAGTTCATTTTTTTTAAAGATTTATTTATTTATGCATACAAGAACTGGGGGACAGGCCAGAACTGTAGGGGATGAGATATTTCTTTTGAAATAGCTCTCCGATCTCTCTTCTCTGATTCACGAGAGACAGAGCGGGTAACAGAACAGGTAGACTGATGAAATACACTGCTGAGGGGAGCGGTGGGTGAGTTAGGAGATGTCTGCTGTGCCATGTGGGTAACTCCCTGGCTAGGGATTGAACTCGTGCATCAGTGGCTGCGGATTGCTTCATAGGTTGTGTCTTAAACTCTTGCACCACCAGGGAGGCCTGAGTTCAGTTTTTTTGTTGTGTACTTGTTGGTATAATTGTTTTCCCCTGAATTTTAGTGTCACTATGTAAGAATGAGGTTAACCCCCAAATCAGGCAAACTCAGTTTTAGAAAAAATACCCTTCAACAGTAGTAGATTTAAAAAGGAAAGCTTACTGAATTTGAAGTCAGTGAGTCATTTAAAATGTTTTTTGTATGTCTCAGAGTTAAAAACATCTCAAGGTTGTATTCTGACTTTCTGCAAGGATTTAAAAAAAAAAAAAAAGGAGCTGCCTGCCAAGGGTGACTGAAGTATAATCTGAATCAAACCAGGAGGAGGAATGGATGTTCAAGTTATGCTGTTCAGTTCTGCCTTTCACATACAAAGATGACTTGTTTGAATGTTATTTAGAAAATGACTGTAGATTAAAATGTGTATCTTGATATTAGCATACTGATGATTTCTGTAATTTCTGGGGTTAGCACCTTCAACTATAGAGTTGAAACAAAAGTAAGTTGATGTTCAATTCCTGATGAAGGAGCCTGGAGAGTAGTGCTCCTGGAAAGCAGTAAAATGCATTCAGGGCTTCAAAACAGCCTCCTTGCTTTCTTTCTTTTTTTTTTTTTTTTAAAGATTTATTTATTTATTTTATACAAGCATTGGGTACAGTCAGAAGCGCGGGAGGGTGAGAGAATTCACCAGAGCCAGAGCAGGGAGCAGAGCAGGCAGAAGGACCAAAGTACACTGCTGAGGGGAGCAGCGGGCGGCAGGAGAGGTCTGCGTGCCATGTGGGACCCTCGCCCGGTGGCCGGGGAGCAGCCGGGGATCGAATCGGCGCTACAGAGGCTGCGGGCAGCTTCGCAACCCAGCGCTCAACCGCTGCACCACCGGGGAAGCCCCCTCCTTGCTTTCTAAGAGTAGTTCATAATTGGTTTGCAAAGTAAATATTTTTGGCAAATAGCTTTAGCTTTGCTTCTGTTTTATAGTTACTTCTCTCAAGCATAAAAGGATAAAGGTAGAAAGATTGAACTCAGTGGCAAAAGTAACATGTTGATCTGTTTATAAATTTCATTTACTGTTAAAATTGATAACTTTGAGTGTCCACGTTGCTCTTAAACTCTTCTCCTATGTGTAACTAGTTGCCCTTTCAAAAGATGATGGAGGGGAAAAGAGGCTGCAAAATGGCTTAGATATTTATAAATTTTAAGGTAATCAATGAGGCTATTGTATAAGCTTAAAAAACTTATTTTTTGCATTATTGGTTATTTTGTTAGAGATCAGTTTAAACAACAGGTAGTGTTTATTGAGTTTCTACTATATTCTTTATTAAGCATTATGAAAACACAGCTCTGCCACTTTTTAATTTTTATTTCTTTATAGGTTTCTAAAGTTTTCATCCATAATCTTGTTAGACAAATTCTGCCCAATGTTAATTCTTCTCAGAAAAGATAAAGTGAATTGTAGAATTGGCCTATGCACTTCTTTCCATTTAACATATTTCCTCTGCTTGCTCAACTGATTGAGTTCCAAGACTGAAAAAACTCAGACTCACTTTTCTTTCTGTTCATACTGAGTGTATAATTTGGAAGACTGTCTTCACTTCACACCAAAAATGCCCTCAATGTAATCTATTGTTTGGCAACTTGGTTTCTACCTAAATATTTTATTGTTTATGGAGTTAAGATATGATTAAGTGTTAGCTGGTTAAGAAATTATTTAGAAATTAAACAGATTTGTTGTTACTCCAAATTAATACACCATTTGTTAACATTAATCCCATCTGGTGCTGAGACTCTCATGCCAATTTCCTTGGGAACCTTGCTTCCACAGTACGAAGATTCTGTTTAGTAATCTAAACACTTCCCTTTCTACCTTATGATTCAATATTAAAACACAAAACAGTAAAATCTTTTAACCTCTGAGAGTTCTCTTCTAGCTTTTGTCCCTTGGTTTTTGCGCTTACTGACCACCTTCGCAAGAGTCGATTTTTCCCTCTGCTCTGACATCAGTTCTACCCTTGGCTCTGCTCTCTGATTTTTTTCACTCTTAATTTCTTGTCTACCAATCTTGTCTTTAACCTCTATTTATTTCAAATCTTTACTGATCACCTTTAAGCCTCTTGAATATATCTACAGTGTATATACAATTTTGGCTTTTCACCTAATGTGAATCTCCAGCTTTCTTAATGTTATGCCAGACTCTAAACTCAAAACTAACCTTCCCAAACCAATTTTCCTACTGTGGTTTTCCATTTTCTGCCAGTATCCTTCTGCTCTTTAACTTTTGCTTCCTGACTTGCTGACAAGCCCCTGATACTTGACGATAATCTTTTCAAAATTTAAAAAAAATTTTTGTCAAGCCAAGTAACTTTTTCTTTATTATTATTATTTTGAAAATACAAAAGTAATTTATGTAAATTATTTTTAAAAGTTTACATGAAACATAAGGGTTTCATTAAAACATAAATTTTTCTTCTTCCTAGTGCTTAATTCCCTGCCCTAAAGCTAATTATTTTTCTGCCATTTTTTTATGTGTCCTTCTTGGGAATATCTGAATTTCCAAGAATGTGGATCCTGTGGATCACTTTTTACATATCTTGTTACTTTACATGCTTATGTCATACTCTACAAATTGTTCTACCCACTGCATTTTCCCATTTAACACATCAGCATGTTTAGAACTTCTTCATTTATTTTAATGATAACATCATAAGTCCACTATATGGATGTACTGTCCCCTATTAAAGAACTGTTTTCCTTTTTCGGTTGTATCTAGCTCTGTGGTATACATCATATTGTATGCATCTTTTTGCACATGTGCCAGTATTTTATTTTATTTTATTTTTATTTTTATGCATACAAGAGCTGGGGTACAGGCCAGAGGTGCGGGGTTGGGGGTGGTGGGGGTGTGTATGAGAGGATTCACCAGAGACAGAGTGGGGAACAGAACAGGTAGACTGACTGAAATACACTGCTGAGGGGAGCAACAGGCGAGTTAGGGGAGGTCTGCTGTGCCATGTGGGTTGCTCTCTGGCTGGGGATTGAACTCGTGCTGCAGTGGCTGTGGTTAGCTTCATAGGTTGCATCTTAACCCCTTGCACCACCCAGGAGGCCCCAGTGATTTCACTTTTACAGATTCATCTTATAAAATACTGGCACAAGAGTCTCCCTGGTGGCGCAAGGGAGAATACCTTTCTAAAGGTACCTTTAGAATATCTTTAGAGGGCTCCCCTGGTTGCGCAGCAGTTGAGCGCTGGGCTGCGAAGCTGCCCGCAGCCTCTGCAGGGCCAGTTCGATCCCTGGCCACCGGGCAAGGGTCCCACATGGCGTGCAGACCTCTCCTGCTGCCCGCTGCTCCCCTCAGCAGTGTACTTCATCAGTCTGCCTGCTCTGCTCTCCCCTCTGGCTCTGGGGAATTCTCTTACCCTCCCGCACTTCTGACTGTACCCAGTGCTTGTATAAATAAATAAATAAATCTTTTAAAAAAAAGTAGAATATCTGAGAATACCTTTAGAAAGGTATTCTCTCAGCAGAGTCACACAGGATGTGTGACGACACTCATGAAATATTGTCTACTAGGGGCGCTCTTTAGAGATTCATTGCCCAGGGTTTGTCTTGGGGATTGGTTGTTGAAGATAGCTTCTGCTTAACATGTACCAAAATTCCAGACTACCAAACAGAAAGCAGATACTTAGCATAAATCATACACTGTTTACAAAGTTTAGGTACAGTAAGCCCACCCTATCAGTTAGTGCTTTGTTAACTCTTTCTTCATATTCCCTAGTTTTACAAACCAGTGATGTTTTCCCCAAATCTTGCTATCTCTCAATTTATGTACCTTGATGTCTTTCATAATCATTTCTACTATGACTTTTAATATGAGTTCTGGCCATTCTCTTAGTGTGTGGTCCTGAATCTTTTAGTATATTGGCTCTTAGATATCCTACCAAACCTTCACACTAAAAGTGTTCAAAATTAAACACATCATCTTCCTTCTCTAGTCTATTTCCTTTAAATTTCACCACTTCAGATGGTCGCCCTATATAGACATTTTCTTTTGAAATATCTCTCCGATCTCTCTTCTCTGCCAGCCCTCACTCCCTAGTGCCTACTGCCATCTGCCTGGGATTATACCCTTATCTCCTTATGCCAAGATTACTTATGTCTGTCTCCCAGATATTCCCTGCCTTCCAGTATATTTTACCCTCCCCCGCAACTGTTGTTCTCAAGCCTCACTTTCCTATGTTAGTCTAAAATCTGACTGTGATTATATCCTATCCTAACTGCTCCCTCACTACTTTTGTCTTTTCCTGACTTTGTGCTTTTGTCAACTGATATTTCTACCTGAACTGGCTTCTTCGCCTTTCTACTCAGCTATATACTTCCCAGCTCAAATCACATTTCCTGCTGGTGGTGTGTGTCTGCAGCTCCAGCTCCTTGGGAGAATGAGGCAGGAGGATTGCTCCAGCCCAGGAATTCTGTGTTCTGGTTACTATGGTGACTTCTTGGGAGCGGGACCACTGGGTTGCCTAAATATGGGTGAATCAGGCAAGGTCAGAAACAGAGCAGTTCGAAACGCCTTTATGGATCAAATCACACTTCCTTCATCAACTTTGTCTACCTTAGTTAGAATTCTTTATACATTTTTTTGAAACATTTCTCTGACCCATTCTTCTAGATTTTATATTGGTCAAGGTTTATAGTTACAAGTACAGGAGCTAATCTCTAGCAGAAAAGGAATTAATTAAATGATATTGGAAAGCTTTAGAACTTCCAGTAGGACTGAGGGAGGACCAAAGAGCCAGGCTTGGCAACTACAAGTCATAGATGGCACCCAGAATCATGCTGCAGAATTATTCCCATGAAGAGACATCTATCACCAACACTGGTAACAGATGAACTTACGTGTTTTTGTACTGGCAGCACCAGCAATGCCATTGCTGCCTCTGTCCCTGGATGTAGCTGCTCCTCTCTTTCCAGCCTTCTTATCACTCATTCTAACTTAAAGTCTGAACTGGGGGTACTGATTGATAGAGTTTTATCTGTCAATTTATGCTCTTGCCAGTATAGAAGAGGCCTAATGTTCTTAAAGTAGAGAATTTTCCAGAAATGGGAAAGAGAGTCTGCTTTGGAACAGAGTATCATGTTTCTGCTCTGATTATCTTTCCATAGCATCTGACTTCTTCCCAACTGTACATACTCTAAGTTCCTCACAGACAGGCCTCTCATACCTCTTTCTAGCTGCAGTCTACCTAATAGAGATCCTTGCTTAGAGCACATATTTAGTAAGTCAGCATAGAAAAAGTCAAAGAAATATCAATCAGGATGTTTTGGCAAATAGTACCAAACCTAACTGGGGCTTAGTCTTATGGTTTTGTCTTCAATGAGATCATATGAGATCTGTATTGCAATTTTTATTTATTTTTTTTAAGATTTATTTATTTATTTATACAAGAACCAGGGTACAGGCCAGATGCACGGGAGGGTGAGAGGATTCACCAGAGACAAAGTGGGGAACAGAACAGGCAGACTGACGAAATACATTGCTGAGGGGAGCAGCAGGCGAGACAGGGGAGGTCTGCTGCACCATGTGGGGCCCTCACTGGCCGGCCGGGATCCAACTGGCGCTGCAGAGGCTGCGGACAGCTTCATAGCGCTGCGCTCAACTGCCTGCGCCACCAGGGGAGGCCCTGTATTGTAATTTTTTACATAAAGTATTTTTGTAATATCAGAACTGCAAAGCTTGGGGTTGCCTAGAAAGTATACAAAGAAGAACATTAAAATCCCACCCTTTGAGAAAACCATTGTAACATTCTTGGCTTACTTCATTAGTGTTTTCTTTTTATATTTATTATTAACTATATACAAAACATATAAAGTTTTGTAGGCTTTTTCATGGATATTTACATCACTAATTTTATTATTAAAATTTTTCATAAATATAATTTGAACATATATAAAGTTTGAAATTACAAAAACTGTTCTCGGGCCTCCCTGGTGGCACAAGAGGTTGAGACATAACCTGTGGGGCTGTCCGCAGCCACTGCAGCACGAGTTCGATCCCCAACCAGGGAGCTGCCCACATGGCACAGCAGACCTCTCTTGGCTCATCCGCTGCTCCCCTCAGCAGTGTGTTTTGGTTGGTCTGCCTGTTCTGTTCCCCACTTTGTCTCTGGTGAATCCTCTCACTGCCACACCTCTGGTCTGTTCCCCAGTTCTTGTATGCATAAGTAAACCTTTAAAAAATTAAAAATTAAAAAAAAAAAAAACTGTTCTCATTTTATGAAGAGATTTGCACTATGGAAAATGCTATCTTATTTGTGGAATCCACTGTACCTAAAAGATCATTGCAGCAGTGTAATTCCTTCTACTTTATCTGCACACAAAAACCAACCACTCAGATATGCAGCTGTAGCCAGTCTGTCCATTTGTGTGATTTTCATTTTCTGACCTAATGGGCTCTGTTCATCCCACCTACTCTGCCTTCAAGCAGTCACCAGGACACCAGATGAAAACTGGCTTCTGCAGTTTCTTGTGTCGTTGCTTAAGGTAACAACACTGTTTTTTCAGCAGTTGCAGAGTTGCTGCTTCTCTGCATATGTGAGGCCTGCTAGGGCCCAGATTCTGGGCACATGGGAGCCCATTCATTCACCATGTAGTATCGATCATCTCTTGACCACTGTTCAAGGGTTGTGGAAAGTGATGATCCAGTCTTGTCCCATGCAACTCATAATCTAGACAATCTAGAGATGTGTGCCGACAAAGAGAGTATAAAGTTGTGTCATGGACCCACAGAGGGGGAGTCTGAAAAACCCTCAATGGAAGAGATTGACAATTTTAACAGATTTGCAGCTTTATGAGCCACTAGCTTACAACTCATTTTTTATGGCCTGTCTCACTTTCTTATTTCTTCATTATCAGATCTACCTTGGAAGGATTTTAGCAGATATGTCATAATTTGGGTGAGCTTGATATAAGGCGTTATGATATCTGGCCTGCTGGCCTCATCAGATGCTCCCAAGTGGAAGAAGATGGTTGTGATGTAGGAATTGCAGCCACATAGCATAGGTTTCTAGCCAGTGGACAGGGAGGAGGTAGTTGCCTTTGGGGAAGGGGATTGACAAGATCTGATAGAGTGTCAGGACCCAGCACAATGGGCTGTGTCCCAGGGAATAATGGGTCAGGTTGAGACCTTAATACTATGTGGGACCACCTACTGGAGCCCATGCCTGCAGACTGGACAGGCCAGGGTAGGTAAATGCCATGTCCTGAGAGATTCACCACCCCTGGAGCTTATCCTTAAGATCTTGCAGTTCTCTGATTTCTAGCAGTCCTGTGTGAGTTGCAGTCTGGAAACCCAGCAAAGAGGTTGGTTGACAAATCCCAGGTGTGGAGGAGTGGCTAACTTTGGAGCCCCTCCATGGACAGTACCTCCATCAACATTAGTGTAAGGCCCGGCGTGGTCTTGATCCTGTTGTTGGGATCATCAAAGGAATGTTAGAAGGAAAAAAGGGGGGTGACATTGTGACAAGAATTTTCTACTATCAGAATTATCCTATTATGTAGAAGTTTTATTTCACAAAACCCCTTAGCCAAATAGAAATTTCTGTTATTTATCTTGTGTCTATTCCCAAAAAACTCAGAGGACTTTGCAGGTATTGGGAACATCCTAGCCATGTTGTTCCATTGTAACTGTTTGAATAGTGTGGGCAACATGGAAAATGCTAGATTCTGAGTGGATTAATACAAAGCCTTTAAAAATGAAGTTCTCCACCCAAATGTCCAGAAACAGATGACTGGATCAAGAAGGTGTAGTATATATACACAGTGGAATACTACTCAGCAATCAAAAAAGAGAAACTCATGCCATTCACAGCAATATGGACGGAGGTAGAAGGGATCATGCTCAGTGAAATAAGTTAGAAGGAAAACAAAATATCGGATGGTTGCATTTATAGGAGGAATATAGGGGAACCTATATTCAGAAAAAAAAAAATCCAATAATAATAAACAAAACTAGCAGGCCCCCTAAATAAGAGACATGATGAAAGGGAGGGGCAGGAAAAGGGATCAAAACGGGATATACGAGCACAAGGGATTCTGGTTATGGTTCATGGGTGAACTGGTGGTGAGAATTTTATGGGGAATACACAATGATGTAGAAGACATAAATTAAAAAAAAATTATAAATAAATATAAATGAAGTTTTTCTTGTTCCTGGGTTTCAGCACCAAAAAAAAAGTAGTTTTTTAATTTTGTTTATGTAAACATACATTTGTAAAAAATTTTTTCCCTAGACAATTCCTTATGTTGGGACCATTTCTGAGCAATTGGAGCCTGGAAGTTTGATTGTCATACGTGGACATGTTCCTAGTGATTCGGACAGGTAAAATCATGTGTTAGAGGAAAGAAAGAACATAAATGAACGTCTCTTTTTGATTGTGAAACAACAACAACAAAAAATAATGTGGAAGAGATCATTTTGCTATTTTGAGGCCTGATTTGGCTTTCGTTAGCAGCTGAGGAGATTGTAAGAAAGATTAAATTTTTTATTTTGTTACTGTTAAGACTGATTTCAATATAAAAAATTAGATACATGGTTAATGAAAGGGATTGTGGTCAGAGGACAAAAAGAGTACAGTTACACCTTTGAAAAGCTGTTTCTTGTAGTTTTAAGTATGAGTACAGTAACTCCTTATCCACGGTTTCAGTTACCTATAGTCAACCAAGGTTGGAAAATAATACACACAATAAAATATTTTGAGACACACACACACATTCACACACCTATTATAGTATGTAATGAGTGTTCTATTTTAGTATTATTTATTGTTAATCTTTGCTATGCCTCAATTATAAAGTAAACTTAATCACTGGTGTGTGTGCATGTAGGTTTTGGTAGCAGGTTTGCCACAGTTTTAGGCATCCACTGGGTTCTTGGACTGTATATTCATGGATAAAGAGGGCTGATATACAAGCTGTATCAGAGTTGGGCTCAGCTCTTTGTGACTGGTGCCTGAATAACAGTGTTGTCAATAATATGTGAAAGATAAGTCCAAAGGAGACAAAGTTGTTAGAAAAGTAGGCCTCTTTTGGCTCACCTCTGTTACCCCTAAGGTGAGGTCTCTTTCTCATGAGACTTAAAAGCCAGAACTCTGGCACTCACCTCATGTCGTGGGTGACTGGATGGCTTATGGGGCATTGGAGGGGGTGGTGGGGCAAAAGGCAGATGCTAACTAACTTTTAAGGCAGGTGGCACTAGTTTTCCTTGAACACTTCCACCTTGTGACAGAGCTTTAAGCATGTGAATGTGCCTGCCACTAAGGGAAATGAGAAAATACAGACTTTTATCCTGGAGAGATAGGACCCCAGCTACAGCTCAGAGATCTTTTACTGAGGAAGGAAGAAAGGAAGATTAGGCCTCTAGGTGTTTAGGCTGTGTGTGAATATGAAGAGTGGGTCAGTCATAGGTCACTCGGCCCGCATTGTTCTGCTTGCTGAGGACTCAAGTGGTCTGTGTCTCTTTCCTTTGTAGATTCCAGGTGGATTTACAGTATGGCAGCAGTGTGAAGCCCCGAGCTGACGTGGCCTTTCATTTCAATCCGCGCTTCAAAAGGGCCAACTGCATTGTTTGCAATACTCTGAAAAATGAAAAATGGGGATGGGAAGAGATCACTTATGACATGCCTTTCACGAAAGAAAAATCTTTTGAAATCGTAATTATGGTACTGAAAGACAAATTCCAGGTAGGTTTTGAAGACTGAAAATACCATGGATGATCATAGGCTTACAGGGCAGCTTTCATACTAGTGAACTCACCCTTACCTTTCTTAAATCCAGAAAAAGAGGTTGACTGTAATTTTTCTCAAAGTCAGGCAGGTACCTAAATTCGAGATGGGGCACTATCTCTTGTCAATGTTGCCACGTGGAATATACAATCGGTTCAGTGCTGCCAGATCTTTTTATTCTAACATACGTCAAGCTGGGCTGAGCTTACTTCTGAATTGGCCCAGCATTATATTAATCACGAAATACTAAATTATAGCCACCATGACCAAAGTACAGTAAAGTCTAAAACTAATATAGACAGACAGAGACTCCTAGCATAGAAGTCAGAAGGGTTTTTTAAAGTTAAGTCCTGACACAAGATAGTTCTTTAGGATCATGAGATTTTAGACCCACAGGAGATCCCTAGAAATCCTGTGTGTAGTGAATGCTGTCACAGGCTTCATGGAGCATTTTATACCTGGTGTGGGTATGTAAGGTAGAATATGGTCCCAGAGGCTCTGCCACTGTAGAGGTTCAGCCTCCTAAACTAGATCTTTGTACTGCTTAGAGTGAAGACTCTCCCACCTCTGGTGCAGATCTTTCCTGTCCTTCAACTGCTACCAGACATTGCCCCAAAATCTGAAACCCATTCATCACTCCCTTCCCACACCTTCTGAGTGCTTGTGTCTGTGTCATGCTTTTGAACACTGCACTATTGTGCTTCGGTGTTTTCCTATCTCATATTGCCACCCGTGAAATTTTAAACTCCTTGAGGTCAGAGATCACAGGGTACATTGCTTGTGTTTTCGTGACATTCCCTAACACAATATCTGACATTGGGGAGGGAGGGGACTCTGTGTGCTGGACACTGCTCTGCATCAGGCACTGTGCTGAGACTCAGAGGTGATCTTATCTCCTCATAATCGGAGCCCTTTCAGGGGGAACTTGTCCTTACAAACAGAAATATCAGACTAAGTTGGGTAACTGCCCATGTTCATTCATTCAGCAAAGTCAACAAATACTTACTGAGTGCCTGCCACATTCACGGTGGCCTCTCCTAGACTGGGATCCTCAAGGACAGTGGGGTGGCAAGCGTGCAGGGCAGATCTCTAATCTGAGTCCAGAGGCCTATAGAGCACTTTGGGGAATCTTTGAATCCCAGGTTTTCTTTGGCATATGAATTGGTATACACGTGCATATAGACATAGATTCTGAATGTGTCATTTGTCAGGGAGGAGAGGGTACATGACATTTAACCAGACCAGGAGAAGTTAAGCACTGCTAGTGTTGTGGATGCTTTCAGTCTCAGTTGGGGCAGATAGGTAATGTGGAGGCCTGTGGGAAATGGTACAAAATTAAACCCAAAAAATATTTCAATATGAATAAATTAATAGATTTATTAATGGTTCTTCTGTGTGTGGGAGTGTGACTGTCTTCTGTGTCTGTCTAGGTGGCTGTAAATGGAAGACACATGCTGCTCTACTCCTATAGGATCAGCCCAGAGAAAATAGATACTCTGGGCATTTATGGCAAAGTGAATATTCATTCAGTTGGCTTTCGCTTCAGCTCGGTGAGTGCCCTGCCGTAGCTTGGGATCTTCTTGATGATGTTTTCTGATGAAATAGTAGGAAACAGCTTAAGCATCTTCTAAGATGATGATAACATAAATGCCTCCCTCATTAGCATATTAATTTTTTGAAGTAAATCTTCCAGACCAGCAGGATGCTACTTATCGACTAAGGGATCTCAAATCTATTATGTTTCTAACCAGAAAGCCCCAAACAGTAACAATAAAACAAAAAAGCCTTTTGGCTAGATAAGGGATAGTTGCATAGGAGTACAATGGAATATTTCGTTTCCTAGAAGTAGAATGTGTGAGTCAAAAGGTATTTTTGCATTTTAAGTTAGGCTTGGTAATATTAATCTGCCCTGCAAAAAGATGAGAAATTGCACTCTCAGCATCTATGCCCACTTGTCACATTCTTCTTAAGTTCTTTAATGTTTGCCAATTTGCTTTGGGAGAGGAGGGGAAGGACCTTTATTAATATGTATTTGAACCATAATTTTCAAGCATATTTCATGGTTAGCACCATTGTAATTCTTTTTGTTAAGTAGATTGTATTTAGAATTCTGATGGGTGTTAAAATTAATCTTATCTTTTCTTCAGGAGTTAAGAAGTGGCCAAGCATGTAATCTGGAACTGAAAAACATTAATAGAGAAAATGTAAATATTAAATCTTTTAATAAACCACTAATTTAAAAATACTCTTTTAGATGCAGTGTAGATTAGGTGGCAGGTGGTTGAGCTTTTTTAAGTTATATTTTTAATATGAGAAATTGTATTTTTAATATTAATAAGCTGGGAGTAATCATTTGAAAATTATACAAGAAGTGTAAATTTCTGTGGTGCCAGTTCTGTGAGGTTTGCTGTGCTCAAACTACCAGTGTATCTGCCCACCACCCGCCACTTTTCTTTTGTAAAAGAACTCTCAACTGTTGAATAGTACTGTCGTGAGGTATTTGTAAATATTGAACACGATAAATATTAAACACAGTCAGTACATTGGCAAATGAACTACCCCATGGATTTTAAACAAATGCCATTTAAATTTGCTGTTAGTGGATAAAATGAAATCTTACTGGACCTGTTACCTCAGAGATAGAATATAATCTCAGCAGATTGGGAGGACCTTGGAGGAACAACTAAAATGCGTTTGAAGCTCAAATGTGGTCCTGTGAAACCATGTTAACTAGCATTCAGGTGAACACTCCCAGCAGCCTGCTCGTAGCTGGAGTCCCCTTTACAGCTCCACACCAGTTGTCACGTAGCACCCAGGGAACTGCTCTTATTATAAAAATAATTCTTCCCTTTCAAATGTCCTCATTTTGTCTTTCTTTTCCCAATAGGTACAAAATGCTGGCATGTCACAACTTGTAAGTATCTTTTTGTTTTATTTTTTACATTATTGTTCATTTTTAAACAATATTTGCTTCCCCTCCACCTCAGGTGTGTCCCCATAGAATTTCCTTCATCAGTGCACCCGTGCACCATCACCTCAGTCCCCTGTGCTCCTCCCTCCCTCCCTCTCATCCCTTTCCCTCCTCCTCCCCTGCAGGATGTCTCTGGTCCCTGATTTATAATTGTCAGTTTTTGGTTTTTTGTGTTTGTATTGTTACTATTTTTTTACACTGATGTCTTACTTGGTTCCCCTATATTCCTGCTATAAGTGCAACCATCCGATATTTTTCTTTTTCCTTCTGGCTTATTTCACTGAGCATAATTTTTTCTAGCTCCATCCATGTTGCTGCTAATGGCATAAGTTTATCTTTTTTGATTGCTGAATAATATTCCATTGTAGCTTGTAAGTATTTTTGCCTGGATTATAACATGTGGAACCTTTTATAAAATTGCCCAGGAAATGAGTAGTTTAAACCTTGAAAGACAGCTTCATTCATTCCATACCTTATTGTAGAACTGTTTCCCTACAGCCTAGTAATAGAGGAGATATTTCTAAAATCGTACCCAGAACTGTCTACACCAAGAGCAAAGGTTCGACTGCCAATCATACTTTGACTTGCGCCAAAATACTACCTTTCAACTGTTTGCCAAAGGTTTGAAGAACCCCAAATTTTCTTAATCCTGTATAACAAATTAAGTTTTAATTAACTGGTATGTGTAACCTCTGTCCTCACTAGAAACCTAAAGGTGCTACTCTGCATTTGTCAGCTGTCCCTGCACAGATATCTGTCACCCAGGCATAAAGTCTCTGAGCTGTTAGTATTTCTTTAACTCCTCCCATCTTGACTGCATCCCTTCAGCAGAGCACAGCTTTATGCCCCAGGCATAGGTGACTTTCTTAGTGTCACTCATACAAAGGCCATCAGTTCCCATTCCATGTCCATTCATTTAATTGACTGAAATGTACTCATCGTGTGCTGTGAGCCAGAGTGTTGACTCTGGGGACCTGTCTGGGACCAAGGCATATTTAGTCTGTGCCTTCATAGGGTTTACAGGGTTGTGACCTTTCAATAATCCCCAGTGTCTTTGGACAGTTTTTTCCATAAGATCCCTTTCTGCAGATTTCTTGGTGCTGACTATGGTTTCTTTTCAGACCCTGCCATTTGCGGCAAGGTTGAACACCTCAATGGGCCCTGGACGAACTGTTGTCATTAAAGGAGAAGTGAATACAAATGCAAAAGGGTCAGTGTCACTAAGTTCCAGTAATAGTATGTCTTTATTGATTTACACCCTATAATAGTCTTATAAACTCTAACTAGCGCTAGTGCCATACCCCCCATTGGGAAAGTGAGAATATGAATGCAAGAGGAAATTGCACTGCTGATCTAGACTTTTTGTAGCTAGACAAGAGGGTGGCGGGCCTCCCTGGTGGTGCACGGGGTTAAGTGTCAGCACTATGAAGCAATCTGCAACTATTGTAGCACCAGTTTGATCCCCGGCCAGGTAGGTGACCCAAAGGTGCAGCAGACCTCTCCAGTCGCACCCACTGCTCCCCTCAGCAGTGTATTTCAGTAGATCTGCCTGTTCCACTCCCCACACTGTCTCTGGTGAATCTTCTCACCTCCCGCACCTCTGGCCTGTATCCCAGTTCTTGTATGCATAAATAAATATATCTTTTTTTAAAAAAAGACAAGAGGGTGGCATTTGTCAAGGCTGGTTCTTGCTTTGTAGAACTCCAGGAAGGCCAAGATCAGGTAACTTTTATTAGAACTCCTCTTGTCATGTGCCTCATAAAAGTTCTACTTTAAAAACCTCCAGAGATGTTTAGACTTCTAAAAACTTGAAATTAGAACTGTTTCCCAGATAGCAGTACACTTTCAAAATAAAAGGACACATGTAAATATTACAAGAGAACAGCTACTTGCAAGGATCCCACACTTCTGCAGCTGGAAGTAATTATTTGGTTTCTTTGTTCTAACCCTTCAGTTTCTTCCCAACCAGATCTATTATCTCAGTATTGATTTTAACATTTTTTATATTGTAAATAACATATCACAGGAATGCTAACTCAGAATTTAAATTTCACCTTCACCAGCCTTCCCCTGTCCATGCATATGTTTTGTGTAATTATAATCAGAGCTTAATTCTGCAGAAACAGCACAACTCTCTTCTTTGTGGTTAATGTGTTTTTTTTTTTTCTCTCTCAAAAGTTTTAATGTTGATCTAGTATCAGGAAAATCAAAGGATATTGCTCTCCACTTGAACCCACGCCTGAATAGTAAAGCATTTGTAAGAAACTCTTTTCTTCAGGAGTCCTGGGGAGAAGAAGAGAAAAATATTACCTGTTTCCCATTTAGTCCTGGGATGTACTTTGAGGTAAGATTATATTTTTTGAAAACTGGGGTAAGAAAAAGAATCCTGCCAGCAGGGTGCATTCAAATAAGTCCTGCAGAAGTATGGGATCTTTGATTTACCTAGTGATTGTATTTCGAGTGCCCTTTTATAAAGCCACTCAGTATAAATGGCAAAGCCAGTAGAGTACCACCTTATTCGTTGGAATTGTTTGAACTGGAATTAGTTCCACATTTTTGGAATTATTTGCTGTCATATTGAAAATTTCTGTGTAGCTGTACATTGGCTATAAGCATTTTAACAGGAACCTTGTCTCAGGATTGGAGTAACATGTTTAATACTAAGTGAACATGAGAACATAAGAACCATCCAGCTGCCTAAACAATCCCGTCTCCCGTCTCAGTAATACACAGCTTTAGGCGCAGTCCTTTCTTCCAAGGAGCTGGTCTTGTGTTATCTATTAAAGGAAAGATATGTTTAGATCATTGGAACTGGAAAGCATGTAGTCCTGAGTCCCTAAGGGTGTGAAAATTGTAACAGAACATTTCCAAAATGTTTTTGGGATGCTGAAGAGAGAATAGTCTCCTTGACATGTGATGTTGGATGGTTGGCAAGTTCACTCACCAGCTTAAGTGACTATTGCCACACGTGGTTGCTCATGTCATGCTGACTTAGGTCATGCTTCTGCAATACATGCTGTCACATGCATTGGCCCATCTGAGTTCCTAAGGATTCATCAAAACTAGTTGCTAAAAGCATGAATGTCAAGGCTGAGTAGAAAATGGTGAGTTGACGTCAGTATTTATTCATGCCAGCCTAATGCAGTGCCCTGGTTTGTGGACTAAAAGACATGTGAGCTAATTATAGAAAGTTCCCTGGAAGTTGTGGATATTGGTTGGAATTATGAAGGGATGTAGGAGGTTGAAGGTAAAGTTGAATTGTCCGGACTTTGAGGATGATTTGAACTAATTACTGGAGGTAGAAAGGGCAGCATTAGGGTTTGGTCAGCTGTCAGGTTTTGAAGGCGCTTTGGGGTTCAGTGGACGGGGAGAGAGTTGAACACTGCTGAAGGAAGTTGATTCTTGTGGTTGGTGACAGGAAATCAGTGACTGGTTTTTTGACCTGTCTGGCTCTCAAGTTTGAAATTGTTTATATTAAAATTAAAGTACAACTTCTTTTAAATCATCATTTGTTAATTTTATACTTCAGGACCAGGAATTATGCTTGTTGGATTTTCAATTTCTGAGGTGATTTTTTGTTGTCTCAGGTTCCAGCCTTTTTAATACACGCTGAGATTATGTCATCTTTCCATTATGTCATTTATTTGATTTTAAACATTTTCTATCCCTTGCTGTTTCAAATTTATTAGATCTATTTAGTCTTTAAAAAATATCTTTCAATTCTGTAAATTCATCTGAGGCTTTTTTTTTTAAATCAAAATCATGTTCTTACTAGCTGTTAAATAATATCAGATGTTTCTGAGGGATTTTGTTGTTACATGTTTTCTTCTGACTGGGAGGTCTTGCCCATTATGTACTTTTCTTCTCTCATTTAGTTGTGCAATAGTGTGTCTGCCTGTCAGTATCCTGTGTCTTTTCCTTTGTTTGTGGTGTGTTGGCGCCGGAGTTGTTCTGATTAGTAATTAATTTACTTTTCACTGCATCTACCTAATGCTAACTTGTTTTCCCTTCTGAGCATCAGACTGTTTTGAGATTTTGTTAAATGTACATTACCACAGGTCCCCTCCACCTGCTTGAAACTGGAATTTCACCATCCTTGTAGGCATATAATCCCAGTTTATGAATATTTTTTCCAGTTCTGCGTGGCCCTAGAATCTTCACATCTTATCAACAGCTCTTTTATCCATTGAATTTCTCCTAGTAGCCATTTCCACTATTCCTATCAGAAGAGTAAAGATTCAGTTTGCTTCTTTGCAGACTCAGATGTTGTGCCTCATTCTGGCCTCTGGGGGTGGAGCCAGGTTGGCAGCAAGGCTGTGCTGCTGCTCTCAATTCTTGATGAATTGAGGTTCACCGAACTGCCTTGTTCAGCGTGGATTTAAAGCAAATGGTAGAATCTTGAGACTGGCATTTGAGACTATGGTATTCAAAGGCTGAGGATGTTGTGAAGGTGACTTAGGGGCAGTGGTTTCTTTTGTTTTCTATTGTTTTGAGTTTTAGGCAAAGACAACTATGAAGGGCAACATCAGTGATGACTGAACAGAAATCTACCAGAATGTTAATTTAAATTACACCATAGATTCAAAGAATACTGACCATTTTTTTTCTTTTTATTGTGGTAACATTGGTTTACATATTGTTTGTATTTTAGAAGTATAGGATCTCTCCCCTCAGGTGTCGTTACCACACTGCACCAGCACCAAGACACCGGGGTCTGCCACCGTAGTCCATTCAGCTCCCTCCTCATTGCCTCTCACCCTTCATCCTTCCCTCCCGGAAGGCGCAGTTCTGCAGCGAGCTTCCTAGGGTTAGTTCTTAGTTTGCTGTCTGACCCTTTGTTTGGTTTCTCTGTACTCCACACACACATAATTGCCACAATCTGGCATATGTCTTTCCAACTCCTTTTGACTCCTTTCCCTTAGCATAATCCCTTCCAGCAACCTCCATCCTTTACCACAAATGTCGAGTTTTTTTTTTTAAATATCTTTTTGATAGCTGAGTGTAGTATTCCATTGTGTGAATACTGAGCTTTGAAGAGTACTTAAGAAAGAGATTGAAGTCATGGGAAGAAAATCAGGATCACCGAGCAGTTGTGCAATTCTTACCAAGTGCTCTGAACTTCTGAAATTTCATGTTGTCTGACTTGTCCAAGACCCTAGAGTTTGAGGCAGAAAAGTGAGGCTCCAAGTCCTGTCGTTCCCTACCTGTTAACTGCAGTCAGTGCCTCCAGGAATGGCAGCCATGATTCAGCAGTTTTCCTCCTTGATTCGGGTTCCCAAACATGGGCGAGGAAGGGCGACTCTTTGCTTCCCCAAAAGCAACAGTCAGGAATGCAGAAGAGGGACTGTGCTAAGGGAATGCAGGCCAGCCAGGCCCCAGGGATGTGTGGGGTTCCAAGTCCCTGAGTGGGACAAGGCAGAAAGTGCCACTACCTGATACTTTAGTTTGATTAGGGTCTTATATGATACAGAAGGGAAGTTAGCAGCAACAGGCTCAAAGACCTTCCCTATGTATAAAGCAAACCAAATGGTGTTACTTTTTGACACTGTTAGTGTGCAAAAAGCAAAAATTACTAAATCAATGGGAACCACTAATGATATGTTTCCTTGCCTTCCAGATGATAATTTATTGTGATGTTAGAGAATTCAAGGTTGCAATAAATGGTGTACACAGCCTGGAGTACAAACACAGATTTAAAGAGCTTAGCGATATTGACACGCTGGAAATCAATGGCGATATCCACTTACTGGAAGTAAGGAGCTGGTAGCTGTCATGACTATTACAAAAACTGAAATACAAAATGGCTTATGTAACACTGGCCTTGTTAAAATGCATCTCATTCTCATTATGTTGGTCATGTATATTGTTAAAATGAGCTTGTATAACATTAGGTACTACTGGGTGTTCAGTCCTTGCCATGGTGTGTGGCTTTGTCCAGCATACAATGAAGAAATGAGACAACAGCAACCTATTGCCATTATTGTGGCCATTCTGGTCTTCCCGCACCCTGGCCTCTTCTTTTTTAAACTTAACTACACATTCATCAAGTATTTATTACTTGCTTCCTATAATGCAGTAGCTAGCATCGAGCATTGATTTTTCAGTTGGTGTATAAAACCACCAGGTCTCCTGTTCTCTTGAGCTCAGAATCTTCTTGATTTGCCCCTGTGCCCCTGTTTTTCTACAGGCATTACATAAACTCACCAAGAACTTGAAAGAATCACTTAACTATTAAATCACACTAAATTATAGAAGACACTATTCTTTCTTAAGTGATCACTTTCTTAACGAGTTTTTGATGATTTACGTCTGGCACTTTTGCATAATAACTAAATCGGCTTTTATGCATTACCAAATAAATAACATTATGAAATTTGAACACAGCACAAAGATTAATGCAAAAAAACCCAAAGATGGTGTTGAAATTAACTTGATGTAAATCTCAAGGCCACCGATTTATTTTAGCATATCTGCATGTAGTGTGTCAAAGATCTGTATGTATTCCTACAGAAAGTGTAAGGTAGAAGCAAGATGATTTCAATTTGTAAAATGTTTATGGTTAGCAAAGCACCGTCACGATTAGATTTAATGAATGTTTATAAAGTAGGCGCTATCAGAAAGTAAAATAGACTACTGAAGTAGAGGCAACACAAGATCTGTTGCTTGTTGGCATGTAAACCCACACTCTGCTCTTTTAAAGATTAGTCCATCATCATTAGCAACTGAGATCAAAACATTGTTCTTCTTTAAGTGATTAAAATCAAACCTGTATCGGCAGGTTAAAACTGTTAAATTTCTGTAATTTTTTTCTATTCTTTGAAGCAAGTTGGCAGAAGTTCTTCATAGAGTACTTACAGGTCAGATCTTGTTACAGGAAATTTCAAAGGTTTAGAAGGGGAGGTAAAAAGCTAATCACTCAGATAATTTTATCTCATTCAATTGCTGGGCTGAATTTTGCCAGGGTTTAGAAATATTTTCATTAAAAATTTTAGCTAGATACTATTTGTACCCATATATTGAAAACAATTATTATCATTCTTTATAAGCACTTAGTGTAGAAACTTTTAGTCTTTCTTTTTCCACCTTCTCCTGTTAATTTATTATGCTGAGTCCTGCCAAGCTCCCGAAATTTTGGGGGGTGGAGAGAGTTGAGAGAGCTGTAGAAGGCTCTAGAAATGCCCCAGGGTGGTGGTGATTTTCTTTCCATAAAGAACATCAGAGAGCATGACTGAGATGCTGGAGACCTTCGGCAACTTGGGAAAAAACAAAAAGTACTCACGTTGTTTCCTCTGAGTCTAAAAAGAATTTTCATTTTTGTTTTACTTGGAGATATTAAGATAAGATTAATTCTTTGATAGAATAAATTATAAAATCTTAAGATAATTTTTGTGGATAGATGCTATTAGCATTTATTAATGAATCAGACTGAGATGTTTCTTTAGAAGTATCATTCCTAGCAAGCTATTTCTAAACTGCAAGTCAGCTTTTTTACTTTGTCACAATGCTACACAAAATTTCTATATTAATTTAGATGAAAGATTCAGAATCAGTTTGGACAGTCTACAGGATAGTTCTTAGAAACCTTAAATTTAAAAAAGACAAATGAAAAAAAATGCCTAAAATAAAGGCATGATTTTATTTGAGTTCCTACATTCTACCTTTACCATGACATAGTATAGAGATTAGAGAATGTCAAAGCACTTTTAAAGACATATACTGATATTTATTTGAGTAATTTTTGGTTAACACCAATGGAAATGTGGTCATTTCTAATCCTGGAGGAGTTCTTTCATGTTACCTAGTGTTTCTGAATCCCTTCTATTTGTGGGTTGTTTTATAAACAGCCTGTTGCCTCTACTAATCACCCCTTCTCCCCCCAAAAAAGATAAAAGAGACAACCATCCTCTTGAGTGAAAAATGCGTTCCATCCATCCATGAGCGCACACACAATTGAAAGCTGAGTGTCATCTACCCGAAATGAAAAGTAAAAATTCAAATGACTTTATGGTTCAAAGCATTCTTGCTGAATAACTGTCATTTTCTTAAGTAGAGAGGTAGGTTGAGTGAAATCTCTGACATGGATACCATGTACACAGAATTCTTTACAGAAGAACTAAAGTTAAAATCGAAATGAGGAGTTGCTAGATTTGGGTGCTGAAAGTAAAACATGTCTGTACACTAACATCAGTTAGAAAGCACGATAGTAAATGTTTAAGCAAACACATCAGTCTGTGTAAAAACTCCATGTATCATTTACTTTTTGCACTTCTATACAACTGGCAGGAGAGGCTTATGTAGGAGCACAAAACAGGTGGGAATTTTCTAAAGAAGTATTTAAATATCTGTGAGCAGTCCAAGTAGATGTTAAGGTACCAAAAGTAATATGGTACCAAACACCAAAAAATGTGAAAAATAAATGTGAACTCTGAACAGAGTATGAAATATCAAAACAAAATCTTAGAAGTAGCTCTGGAGTGGCTCTCCCAGGATAGTTTCCAGTTGCTGAATTGTCTTTTGGCACTGATGTTCTACTTCTTCACATTCATCTAAAAGAAAATCCAAAATTAAAATGAGTCAGTCTTCCTGCCTCTGTTCTCATTAGTCTAATCCATGTCTTTCATTCTCTGGCAGTTATTCAATCAAATGAACAAAATAGAACACTTCTTCCATATTCTTCCTTTCTGCCTTCATTTCCCTCCCTCTTACTGGCTGAGTTTTTGAAGCTGAGTTAGATGGAACCCCAAAACAGCAGCACCCAAATGAAAATTACAACTTTGTAACAATGCCACTCCTTTCAGCAGCTCACAGAATCCCCACTCCAGGACATAAGAAACAAAGCAGAGCATACTATTTTAGATAAGCAATGCATTACTAATATGAAAACATTAACTTGCTTCCATCACCCTTGCTTAATATGAACATGTCCCATTACTTCTGGGGCTGTGTAGTGCCACAGAACTTACCATGACATGCATCTAGACACTGTACAAATCCAGACCTAACCCTATTTCCATCTGGCACACCATCTATTACCTTATAATATTTACTCCTTTTAAGTTTCTAGTTTCTTCCATTTTAAAACAGGGATGAGGCATACCCCTGTGGTGGGAATGAGAGAGCATTCAGGCAGGACACCCCACACAGAGTGCCGAATGAATGCTGGTCTTTACCAACAGGTAGCTCTCCTGTTGCATCCTTCGTGGCACTAGACTTCGATTAAAATTAACCCTTCATCTCAGAACCAAAATATTCAATCATATATGAGGTAAATGGAAAATAGTATTATAGTCTGTTTTGTACCATCACAATAACCTCACAAGCATAAAGATAATAAAATTACACCATAATCAAGTTCTCAGGTGATCCTTGGGTGGTCACCTCTGAACACACCACCTCCATCTTACACAAAATAGGAACTCAGCTTCCCATATTTGACATCTGAGGTTGGCAGCAGTGCACAGGACTGGTGCCAAGGCCTAGTAATAGAGGCCTAATAATCCAAAAGTTTGCATTATCATGGGATACATTTTTTTTAATAGGCTTTTACTGTAATTATTTCTTCATAGTTTGGGGATTACCTTCCATCAATTCAGCCAAGAAAGGAATGGATTCTGGTAGCAAAACTATATAATTCTCCTTTAGTTTTTCAGCCAGTGCTAACACAGTAATCAGAGCAGCAAATCGAACCTGAGAAGAATAAAAAGTAAACATGATTAAAAAAACAACAACAAACCTACTACAGGTATATAACGTTAAGATCTGTTTAACTTGAGACAAGCTCCAACTTTTTAAACATTTATTCAACTTTGATTTTAGAATAACAGTTTCTTTAGCAACTTGTAATCTGTTTATAATATGGGTACCCTTATAAACCAAGTGTTTTTCAAACTTGTTCCAGTACTGTATTTCACCTTTTTAAGTACTATTTTCCTTAAAATATAAAGTATGCAGGCAAACTCAAACATGTCATCAAATTTAACTGCACTGCAGCTCATCAGCTCCCCAGGCTGAGTTCATGCCGAACTGGTCATCGATCACCCCAGCCACAGTAGGCAGGGGATCCCCCTCAGAACCTTGACTGGTCATCACTAGAGTGTGTGAGGAGCCAGGGCACCTGCTTTCATCTCAGCACTGAATTAAAATATGTATTCATTGAGTCACAATGTCCTAGTTTTGGAAACAAAAAAAATCAAGGTGTTTTTCATGAAGTGTTGTCTACAATAAAGAATGCCAGCAGTCGTTTTGGTAGTTAATGATCATTTTGAAATAAAAGTGCTATTAGTTCTCTTTCTGGTTCTGAATAAATTTTTAAAGAGTATTTGGACAGACCAAGGCAATGTTTCAAAAATTTTTACCTATAATCAATCATGATTTTCTTGATGATGTACATTGAAAATATAAAAGTAAGTTTAATGCTGCAACTTGTTTAAGAACCTACTTAACATTTGGGCAGGGTCATCAAAATAACCTCACTGTTCTTGTTACTTCCTAATGTTAATATTTCAACTAATCTATCAATATCAAAATAAATGAATAAATAAATAAATCTGTCAACACAATTCTGCTTTGGTGTGTTTTTATCCACTGAGGTTCTAGTATGATCTGAGAAATAGGAGCTGGGGCTAGAACAGTTTGAAAACACTCACACTAAGATATGGACTATTGATTTCCATTCATCCTCCCCCATGTAAGTATACTTCTACCACCCCATTCACCTCTTGTTATACAACAAAATCCTAAGTCTAAAATATCCAATGGCATAATACTTCTCCTCTAACTCAAAGGTATTATTCTGTGGACAGAGCATTTATTTCTGGGAACATAATGCTATTTAAATGGTGCTTTAAAAACACAAGGAATTACCTTAAGTCTTTTTAAGATTTAAAAGCATTTAGAAGTCTTCTAGTGCTATGTCTAACACACTGTAGGGTAAGGGTATAGATTGCTATTATTTATAAATAGCCTATTAAGTAAAAACCAAATATGTTTCAGCTCAAACTTCTGTCTATGTCTAGTCCCAGAAGGCAAGCAATGCTCTCGGTCCCTGCTGGTTCACTGTGGTCCTATACCCATGACAGTTCCAAGGCTGTCCGGGCTACCCGTGAGAATGAGCACACCAGCCCTTCTGAATGCAGCTTCTAACCTTGGGAGAGGAGTCTCTTGTCTTGAGTAGAATCTGGTAGTTCAGTGGCTTCCAGAGCGAGTCATCTGCCATGGCCACTGAGAACTGTGCAATGCACGGGATCAGGTGCTTCGTCACCCGCTCCTGGAACTTCTCTTCTCCTCCAAGCCTGTTTTCCAGCTATTAAGAGTGTGCAAGAACTTTGAGCAACAGCTCTCACCTTTTCTTCATTTCACAAAATACCCAGTTTGTAAATATTTTACTATCCCCTTCATGACATCAGCAGACTCAAAAATCAGGTACTATTCTAATACTCTCTTTAGAACAAAGCACCAAATTTGGGAGGCTCCAGTGGACTCTCATAGCCCTTGAGCCTCATCCCTTCCCATCTAGCAGAACATCTTCCAGAGGGTGGCCAAGGTCTGAAACATTGTCAAGAAATCCAGTTTTGGGCCTCCCAGGTGGCGCAGCGGTAGAGCACTGAGTTGCAAAGCTGCCCGCGGCCTCTGTGGCGCCGGTTCAATCCCCGGCTGCTCCCAGGCCACCAGAGGAGGGTCCCACATGGCGCGCAGACCTCTCCTGCCGCCCGCTGCTCCCCTCAGCAGTGTACTTCGGTCCTTCTGCCTGCTCTGCTCCCCGCTCTGGCTCTGGTGAATTCTCTCACCCTCCCGCGCTTCTGACTGTACCCAGTGCATGTATAAACAAAAAACAAACAAACAAACAAACAAAAAAAAATGCCTCTATTAAAAAAAAAAGAAAGAAAGAAAAGAAATCCAGTTTTAAAAAGTTAAAATTTTAGGGCCTCCCCGGTGGCACAGCAGTTGAGCGCTGGGTTGTGAAGCTGCCCTCAGCCTCTGCAGCGCAGGTTCAATCCCCGGTTGCTCCCCGGCAACCGAAGGAGGGTCCCACATGGCGTGCAGACCTCTCCTGCCGCCCGCTGCTCCCCTCAGCAATGTACTTCGGTCCTTCTGCCTGCTCTGCTCCCCGACTGGCTCTGGTGAATTCTCTCACCCTCCCGCGCTTCTGACTGTACCCAGTGCTTGTATAAATAATAAATAAATAAATCTTTTAAAAAAAAAGTTAAAATTTTAACCACTAAGCTTATATGTCAAAGGGAATTCAAAGGTAAGCTAAAACTCAGTGTATGCCACATGAAGATGTTATAGCCACAAAAAGTGGTAATTCAGAAGGAAAAGGCTCCAGGTGAAAAAAGCCCAACAAAGTATTATTTTAGTAGATAGAAAACCTGTAGAAATTTAACAGTGATGGCCTCCTCATCTTTTACCAAAAGATAGTTCTATTTGGTTACCTGATCCACCAGGGGCATCATCAGAGCTTCTGCTCGCTCTTTACTTACAAAATGCTGGGTATCAAAAAGGAAGATTTTATACAAACAGTTCAAAATAAACTCTAATAGCAAGCAGCACTTTTCAGGGTCATTTTCAGAGTCAAAAAATGCTTCATCTGTAGATAAGGGAAGAAATGAGAAAATGAATTTCACGATTAAATTTCCACTGCTTAAACACTATTAAAAGACCCATAATCAAAACTTTTAAAATGATCCAGAAGTAATTATCAGAATGAAGACAGAATGCAAATAAAATGAATGCTCTGTCTGGTAAGTGATTCCTTTTTTTAGAGTTAAGATTGTTCAGGGTTAAGATTGCTTAGTTTGACAAGTTAAATCACCAGCTGCCAATCTTAAAGTTTTAAAGTTACTTCCAATAATGTACAGTAATCCCTGTTTACTTTATTCTTTCTTCCAAGTGAGTCAATGAATTAATAACATGCCATCGTGCTAAAACATTTCAATGCCTAGCTACTGACTGTAAGGTAAAAAATTCATTCTCCTTAGCCCCAAGAGCCATCAAAATCTTGCTTGTACTTATTGTACCTTGTGCAAGGCACATGGGGAAACGGTGTCGACTGAACTGGCGTCAGCTACTAACCTGTTTTGGAGATGTTCACCTGGTTCAAGGTATCAGCAAAAGGCTTCACTAAGTGGCCAGCAAAGAGACTAAAAAGCCCTTTCAGTTTTTCAGCAATGCAATCTGCCAAGTTGTAAAATGTCAGCAGTCTGTCCTTCGGGGCATCTTCTGTTTTAGCCCAATCAAACAGCTAAAAAGATAAAGTATATTAGTTTCTTTTACATATCTTGCAACTTACATACCTGAGGACAAAGGAGATAGGAAGAAAGCATACCTTGAAGAACAGGGGTCTGAATGTGACTTCAGAAAGTTTTACAACCATGGCTACTAGACAATCAATGATACAATTTTCTGTTTTTCTAACTTCGTCCAGATCATTCTGAAAATAGAAGAGCTGATTTATTAGCCAGAATACTGACATCTAGGTCTAAATGATTTTGACAGGTCCAACAGGTTATACAGTTAGATTTTTCTGATTCTTAAACAGGTTAACTTTAGGATTTGGGGGAGTGGCCTCAAGCTTACCTCAGAGTGCTGTGCTCGGAAGTCCAGGGCTTCCAAGAAAAATACGGTTAGCTGAGACTGATGGGAGGTGAGCTCTTCCTTCTTCATTACTCCAATGTGTTCTCGTAAGATGCTCATAAATGGACCCATGTGATTCTACCAGTAACACAGCAAAGAGATATGCCAATTTTTATTATCCCTGGAGTTCAACAATGCATTTATAAAGGGATTAAATAACCATATTCTTCTTTCAATGAAAATGTAATTTCAGTACCACACCTCCCTTCTCCAAAGTCTAATCCCCAAGTTGATCTAACCTTCCAGTTCTTCTCAATCTGTTTGTATGTTTTGTTGATGGCTGGCAGTAAGACTCGGGGTGAGAGCTTGGTAGCCAGTGTGTTCTTAACAGACATGAGACGGACATTAGCCTGGGAAGCAGAACCCATTTCACTGGTGATTTTCTCCAAATGAATCACCTAGAGGAATGTAAAAACAGTGATCAAGGTCATTGTGAGTACTCACCGGGAACATCTACATACTTAGAGTCATAGTGATGATGTGAGAAGTCAGTCCAATTGCTAGTGACTGGTAAAGAGCTCAGTGCATTTTAGTTCTAAATGCAGTTCCTTTTAAGTCAACCCTGAATGTCTGTAGATAAAAAAGGGCTGACATCTCTTTTTCAACTAGGAGTCAAGGATATAAGTAAATGGTACAAGGCAAATGAACAAAGAGTTATCTGACTAATGATTTTCTTAGAGAACAGGAATCCAGGGACCAGGAGAAGAGTCCAGACCTCCCTGGCTAACAACCCAGATGCAGAGATCCCTTTCTGTAAGAAGGCTACTTTGATGCTCTGGCTGAAGAGTGTGTGACTTGGTTAAATCATTTGCATCATATCAGTTAAAGTTTCAAATCTCACAAATGGCATATAATTAGTATAATAGAACAGGGAATGTCATCTTTGGGCATTTTCAAATACAAATGTCACTTGCCCATTAGCCTGTTTCTAAGTAAACACTGAACTGTAATACAGGAATTCTGCTTTCAAAGACAACCTAGGATTAAGAAACCTTTTACACTAGAATCAAAGTCTACAGAAAGTACTAAAAGGCAGCTTCCGTAGCCTAACTCCAAAGATGTCACAGCAGAAGAAAATCAATAAATACATTCTGCAAAGTGAAGAGAGAGCCTCAAGACAAAGTGATACCCATATCAATGTCACAATTAAGCAGGAGAGACAGTAGAAAAGAAAAAGACATGCATTTAATTACAACAAGGACATCAGAAATAATTTTCCTGGCAACAGAAACTAAAATGTTAAAGAACAAGGCGTCCCTGGTGGCGCAAGGGGTTAAGATGCAACCTATGAAGCTGTCTGCAGCCACTGCTGCACAAGTTCAATCCCCGGGCAGGGAGCTACCCACATGGTGCAGCAGACCTCTCCTGTCTCACCTTCTGCTCCCCTCAGCAGTGTACTTCAGTCAATCTGCCTGTTCTGCTCCCCACTCTGTCTCTGGTGAATCCTCTCACCCCACCGCCCCACACAAACACCTCTGGCCTGTAACCCAGGACTTGTATGCATAAAATAAATCTTTAAAAAAAAAATCTTAAAAAACAAATAAATCATTACATTTATAATCTCCCCCTTTCCTAGCCATCCCAAATAGTACCTCATGGTCACTGTGGCTCACCTGGGACAGAACACCTTCCAGGTAGGGACTGATGAAGTGGGGAAGAGTCTCAACAACCTTCTGCAGGGTCGCCAATGCGCTGAGCAGATAGACCTCGCCTGAGACCAGCTCACTGGTGTTTTTCATTATTTTCAACAATGCTGGCATCAGGCTAGAAATGAAAAACAGAGAATGGAGAATGGACTAGAAGTCATTATGAAAAAAATCCAGACCTCTGTTACATCACACATAGCCTACAAAACAATATCTAGACATTTTGTGTCTTAAGAAATCACCCAGTGCCATTAGTGCTGACTAAAGTCATTTTGAAAAATAACAATGTTTTTCAATTTAACATTTGTTGTGTCAGGCACTGTGCAGAAAGTCTTCTATTCATTGCCCGACAGGAATCCCATGAAGTAGGTACTTGTCTTGGTAGCCTGCCCACAGTTGCACAATTAATAAGTGAATGCCAGAACAAAGGGGAGCACGCAGGGTGCTTGACTTCTGAATGTGGGGTAGCATGAGGCAGCTTTTGCCCAATTGGATGGACCCCCTAAAGGAATGTTATATATTACTTCCCAGTCAGTACTGGTCAAAGGGGAGGAAACAATAAACTCCATAAAGATAAAAAAAAGTGTGTTTTCCAGTTTAAAGGAAAGATCATTTCTTTAATCTAATTTTATGTAACTTGTATTAGAGGCAAAAAAAAAAGTGATGGGCCTCCCTGGTGGCGCAATGGGTTAAGACGTAGCCTATGGGGCTGTCCACAGCCACTGCAGCACGAGTTTAGATCCCCAGCCAGGGAGGAGACCCACATGGCGCAGCAGACCTCTTCTGTCTCACCCGCTGCTCCCCTCAGCAGTATATTTCAGTCAGTCTGCCTGTTCTGTTCCCTGCTCTGTCTCTATTGAATCCTCACCCCCCACATGTCTGGCCTGTACCCCAGTTCTTGTATGTATAAATAAATAAATCTTTTTTAAAAAAGTCACTAAAGTATTACCTTTCCATTTATACTACAACCCCCTTGCAATTAGTCCTGTTCCAGGTCCAGCGTACCTGGGGAGCTGAGGAATGGCCAGTGCTTCCAGGGTGGAGGCTACCTCTGCTACACACAGCAGGGCACTTCCCAGCACATTCTTCTCCTCCTTTGCTTGCGGAGCAATCAGTTTCACTGCAGTGTTCAGCACTGGGACAAAAGACTCTGGATGCTCTGCACCAAAATTCTTGCATAAAAGCTTTAGGGTATACAAAGCCGTCTGTCTGTTTATTGCTTGTTCTTCTAATGCCTTTTTTTTATGTTGCACAATGACCAGAAGAACTGGAACCAGTTTTAGGAAATGGAAAACCTAGAAGAAAGCCAAAATTCCCAAATAATTAAAACCACCAAAAAAATAATACTAATCCACTTTTCCTGTCTTTACTGCTTGTGACAGCCTCCATGGAAATCAGACCAAGAGGTCACATCATTATACACAAGTGACTGTTTTCCACTTGCTTTATTTACCACTAAGTAAATGTATGTGCTTGTGACCAATTTTTTTCCTTACAATTTGGAGTAAAACAGGATAAGAATGATTCTTACATTAAGGCAACATGTGGCCCACGTTAAACAAGAATTCCATCAGGCTAAAATTCCATTTTAAGAGTACTTAGAAAGAAAACATCCCGTTTATAACTACATAAAAAAAAATTAAGATACCCAAGAATAATTTAATCAAGGAAGTGAAAGACTAGTATACTAAAAACTAGAAGATATTACTGAAAGAAACGGAAGACACAAATTAAAAGGATATTCCATACTCATTGCCTGCAACAACTAATAATTGGTAGGCTCACCGCACTCAATGTAATCTGCAGATTCAATGCAATCTGTCAAAATTCAAATGCCATTTTTCACAGCAGTAGAAACAATAATCCTTTGTATGGAACCATGAAAGACCCCCAAAAGCCAAAATAAACTTGAGAGAGAACAAAGTTAGAGGCACCACACTCTCAGATTTCAAACTATATCACAAAGCTATGGTAATCAAAATTGTATACAGTATTGATTAAAAAAGATATAGAGGACCTCCCTGGTGGCGCACGGATTAAAACACAGCCCTATCAAGCTATTGCCAGCCTCTGCAGCACGAGTTTCATCACTGTCCCCAGTGGGCAAGGGAGCAACCCACATGGCACAGCAGACCTCTCCTGACTCGCCCACTGCTCCCCTCAGCAGTGTATTTCAGTCAGTCTGCCTGTTCTGTTCCCTGCTCTGTCTCTGGTGAAACCTCTCACACCCCACACCACTGGCCTACTCCCGAGTTCTTGTATGCATAAATAAAATCTTTTAAAAAAAAAAGATACAGAGATCATTGGACAGAATGGAGAGTCCAAAAATAAACCTAGGCATTATGGTTAATATATTTTTTTTACACAGGAGCCAAGAGTATACAATGGAGAAAGGACAGTCTCTTCAACTTAGTTAATGGTGTTAGGAAAACTGGATAGACACATGCAAAAGAATGAAAAAGAACGCACTATCTTACACCATCCACAAAAATTAACTCAAAATGGGCTGAAAACTTGACTGATACCTGAAACTTTTAAAATCCTAGGGAAAAAAACAGATGGTAAGCTCCTTGCTATCACTTTTTGTAAGTGATCATTTCACAATACAGACAAATATCAGATCATTTTTTGAAATCTGATACTAATACAAAGTTGTATTTTAATTATATCTTAAAATAAAAAGAAATTCTTACAAAAAAAAAAAAAGCTCTTATAAAAGCAGTTTTAAAATACATCACTGCGGGCCTCCCCAGTGGCACAGTGGGTTGAGCACAGTTGTGAAGCTGTCTTGCAGCCTCTGCTGCACAGGTTCAATTCCCGGCCGGCCAGGGAGATATCCACATGGCACGGCAGACCTCTCCTGCCTCGCCCACTGCTCCCCTCAGCAGTGTCTTCGGTCCATCTGCCTGTTCTGTTCCCCGCTGGCTCTGGTGAATTCTCTCACCCTCTCACACCTCTGGCCTGTACCCCAGTTCTTGTATAAATAAATAAACCTTTAAAAAAAATACATCACTGTATTAGATTCAGGTAATACACTTAGTTAAATTTTAACACTGGAGAAACTTAAGGGAGTTGAATGGCACTTTCTGATGAAGCGAAAAGGTCTGGCAGTCCTCACTTACAATTTTCTTCTTCCAGGATATATTCTGTTGTAGCTTGTTATTCAGAAGATCCAATGCTTTACGGCGAACAGATGGCAGTGGGTTATCCAGGAGCCCTCTGATCACAGGAATGAAGGTCTCTGTGGGCAGCAAGGCATTGACCTATACAGCAATTTTTCATTTAACACAAATATATAAATAAAGACATAAATTAAAATATGGGAAGACAAACTCAGTTTTTCAATTCATTGCATACCTTCTAAGTGCCAAGGATTTTCACATTTAATTTCTACACTAACCTTGGCAGGTAGCCAATACTAACCATACTTACGGGAAAACAAAAACAAAACCCAAACAACAGGGCCTCCCTGGTGGCCCAAGGGGTTAAGACACAACCTATGAAGCTATCTGCAGCCTCTGCAGCACAAGTTCGATCCCCGGCCAGGGAGCTACCCACATGGTACAGCAGACCTCTCCTGACTCGCCCACTGCTCACCCCCCACACCTCTGGCCTGTACCCCAGTTCTTATATACATAAATAAATAAATCTTTTAAAAAACAAACAAACAAACAAACAAACAGCAAGTGAACTGGTTGTTTGTAGCAAGTGTAATGGTTAAGTAATTTCACTAGATTTTAAGTAGTGATTCTGTGTCAAGGTCAGGAATATTTCTAACATACCACATACTAATGAATGGGTTTTTTCTTTTATTCCACTTGAATAAAATGGAATGTTAGGTAGTATTTCATGACAACATTTAAAACATTGTATTTACCGAGCCACATGTTCTTGTTTTTGGCAAGGATTCATTCCTAGCCATCAGACTTTTATCCCCAAGAAAAATTTGAACATTTATTTACTTATAAATTTATTCTTACATTAAAGCTTTGTTAAATAATTTCATGACATAAAAATGGCAGCAAAACAACAGATGGGGAGAAATGAAAACCTACCTTATCTAGCAAGTCATAAGCTTTACTAAGGAGAGCTCGCCAAAACTTGACAGTTAGTTTGTCTGCATTTTTCTCCATGGACTGTGCTACAGCATTAATATAGTTAAGAACCATTTCTAACAACCTACAACATAAGAGACTCATATGAGTTTCATACACGATTCTTTCAGGGTTTTTAAACAAAGTTTTCAATTACTTTCAGAGAAAAGGGGAACAGATAAAGGAACTTACCTCTGTTCAAGGCCCTTTAAAGCCTGAGGACCACCACTTTCAACTACCTAAATTTTAAAAAAGAAGGCATCATTAGGATAGTATGGAAGCTGGTTAACAACCATTTGAAACAGGCGCAATGAAGGTCATCCCAGACTATTCAACTCAGACTTCCCACAGTGACTGTTTTCAGACATTAATATTTCATTATGTTCCAATCACCCCCATCATACTCTATATACTATTTCTCAACAAAGACTCAAAAAACTACATCACACTATCAAAATTCCTTTCATGAAATGTTAACCTTTTGTTAGTTCATCTCTAATTTCAGATGTTAAATATTATAGATTCTGCTACAGTCTTCTAAGTACTGCTCCTTAATCCCATTCTCTACCCCCATCCCAATGTCCCCAAACTTGAATCTAATGTTAAATTTGTCAGAGTACAAATCCATCAACACCATGCACTTCCGATAATACTGTATTTTTGAGATTTATCTATGGTGACTTAAGTTGTTCAAATTCATTCATTTTAACTGTATACAGGTATTTATATATACTGCAACTTATGCTAAAGAACAATTTTTCTTGTCTCCTTGCACATCTGGATATTTTTGTAGATCATGTACCTGAGAAAGGGAATCGCTAAATCACATAACTTCAACTTGATAGGATACTGCCAAGCGCTTTCTAAAGTGGTTGTACCAACTCACACTAGCCATGACTTTGTATATAAATAACTGGCCCTATAACCTTGCCATTTTTTGAGATTAACAGTTTTAAGTTTTTTGGTGATTTGATGGATGACCAAATGGCAAGTTGTTTAAACTGCATTTTCCTTCTTCCTAGAGAGGATGTTTTGTTGTATATTATTTGAGCATTTGTGATTCCTTATTAGTCAATTCATATTTTGCCAGCTTTTCAAATGGAAATTGATGCTTTTTGATTTTGCACAGCAATATTCTCCTCTTAGTCTGTGACTTGATTCTTTGTTTATGGTGGCTTTTCTGAACTTAGATTTTCCAATAATTCTCTATCCTCTGATCACATAATGTTCCCTTTAACTTTCTTCTACAAGTTCTTAAGTGTTCCCTTATACAATGAAGTCTTTAAATCTATCTAAATTATCTTCTGTATATAGTGGGACACAGCCTTTTTCCCCCACATCGAAAACAAATTGTGCCAGTTCTAGTTCTTGGACAGTTCTCTTACCCCACTATTTCATAATGCCACCTGGTGCATACTACTTCCTACATGCACATGGGTGTATGGAAGGTGACAGCTTCAGTAACATTGATCAATTGGACTGCTCTGACCTTGGCAAGCATGCATGACACACAGGGTATTTACACTGACCTCTATTAACTATTAGCTCTGTAATTATTAGCTCTGCAAATCTGTTAATCTTTTGCTGATTCTGATCTTTATTTTTTTCCCCGATCTTCATTTCTTTTGCTGGACATATACTATGATAGAGTGTATCTTTGTTTCACCTTTAACAGGAGCACAGTAATGTCTCATCAAGAAATGGGATGTAAACTTGAGGTTTCTGATATACAGCTTTATCAGGCTATCCATCTTGCATTGCCTAGAGGACTTTTTTCTTAGAATCATGAGTAAGTATTGACTTCATTATTTTTCTGTAAGTATTTCAGTGATCATCTGGTTTTCCCTCTTAACCTGTTCATGCCTTGTAATAAACAGATAAACAGTAGGTCTCCTAATGTCAGAGCATTCTTATACTCCTGGTCATGAACATGGTCTTTCTCTCTCATTTTTTCTTATTTCTCATTGTGGTTCTGTATTTCCCTTTTTCTCACCGCTTAAAACTTAATACACAAACAGGTGCACACATCATACTTATAGAGCTCACTACAGTGAGATGAAGAAAGAGCACATTATTAACACCTCAGAATCCCTTCTCTAACTGACCCTCATTATTACCCTTTCTCCCCAGCTCCAAAAGACCATTGGTACTTTTAAAACCATAGATTTGGTTTTGTCCCTTTTTGGACTTTCTATAACTGGAACTGTAGAATGCATTCCTTTGTGTCTATCTCCTTTCTTTCAATACGTGTATGTTACTCATAAGATGGCTATGTTTTGCTGAGGTTCGCCCATGTCTATGGCCTTTACTTCTTTGTTGAGAGACACCTGTCTCGTAAATAGTTCTGGGCTACCACAATGTCATCATGAACATTCTTGTAGCTGTCTTTTGGTACATTCACACATTTCTACTGAATACACACCACCTGAGAATGCAATTATGAGTCACAGGATTTATATACACACAACCTTAGCAGACCAGGTATTCATAGTGAATTGCACTATTTTTTTGGTTTTACATTTAAAGGCAAGCCTCCTGTTTCCATGAGATATTTTCCAAGCTATTTTTACCATTTTATAATAGCTACATTAGAGGGGCCTCCCCTGGTGGCGCAGCGGTTAAGCGCTGGGCTGCGAGGCTGCCCGCAGCCTCTGCAGCGCTGGTTTGTTCCCCAGCCACCAGCAAGGGTCCCACAAAAAAAAAAAAAAACAACAAAAACAAACAGCTATATTAGAAAAAGTAATTATTTTATCATAAGCACATTTAAAGAAACATCACCTTTCTGATAAAATTATCGGAAGCCAGGAGTTGAGACATGAAGGACACTGACAAAAATTTAAAATGCCGCAGCTGCTTGCTAGTGTGAGTGTCTATATTAAAAATCTGTAGCATTTCTTTTTGTGATTCACTCTTATTAGATACTGCTCTGGGAATGGTTTCTGAAAAAGAGCAACAATACAGTGAGCTCACTTATCTTCAACCTGAATCTTTAATATAGATATATATATAAAACAAGGATTGATAAACAGGATACAATTTTCAGACAAAGTTGTTAATCTATTACACCCAGTTGCTCGCCTTCTCAATTAGTAGAAAATGTGAATTCATTCACCAAGAAAGTATCCAACAGCCCTGAAAAGATAGTAGGGCTAAAACAAACAAAAAAAGCAAAGACAGGCAAATGAAAGCAAACAAATTATAAAAGGAGTCTTTAAATGTTGGCCCCCCATAACCAATTTCTGAAGCCTCAGAAGCATTTACTTGGTGATCCATTATAAACTGAAGGAAAGTCATCTCTAGCCTTCAACATTTAATTCTAAAAGTTTAAAGATGTGTGTCCTAAAACTCTGTAGAATCCTTTATTCTCAAGTATCTAAAATGAAAGGCACTGTGGCAGTGATCGGGAATCCATGGTGGGCTACTTAAAAATGACAGTCTTAGAGGGCCTCCCCTGGTGGCGCAGGCGGTTGAAGCTGCCTGCAGCCTCTGCAGCGCCGGTTTGATCCCGGCCGGCCAGCGAGGGTCCCACATGGCACTGCAGAACCTCTCCTGTCTCGCTCACTGCTCCCCTCAGCAGTGTACTTCGTCAGTCTGCCTGTTCTGCTCCCTGCTCTGTCTCTGATGAATCCTTTCACTTTCCTGTGCATCTGGTCTGTACCCCGGTTCTTGTATAAATAAATAAATCTTTAAAAAAAAAAAAAACAAAACATGACAATCTTAGAGAGTGACTCAAAATGAAGACGTCTTACTTAAACAAGTCACCACGTAAGTTCTCCAGGGACTTTCCTGGTCTATTCTTGACACACCTAAGTCAACTGTAGAATGAGACAAGTCACTACTAGGCCAAACAGGGAAAAACAGGGCAAACAGCTGATCACACACAAAACAGTCCCAGTGGAGCTTTGAGTACCTTCTTTATAATGCACTTTGCTCTGCCAGGCAGAGAACTAAAAACATTCAACACATCAACCCTTTATCAAGCCAGTCTCACTGGTACTACAACTGATGGAATTACCTTCAAGACTCCCATATATGGTAATATTTAATATTTATTTACTATTGCTATTTTTTTCTTCTTGTAAATGTCTTCAGATATTTCAACAAGAAGCTAAGAGATAGCTAATAAGGTCCTGCTAACCTGCTGTTATTTTACCACAATTCATTTTAGACAGTTTTAATATTCCATAACAACACACTAGCACAGGCACAGAGGTATAAAAGTAAATGTCTGAGGAATGCAAATAGAAGTCCTACTTACTATTTCCTGTAAGGATTTGAGAAGGTTCGTAATCATGTATTCAAATTAAAAATTATTTTATCAAATTCTTCTAAAGAAGTACTATAGGTTCTCAGGATAATTTGCACTGTCCTCTGCTTCTCTTGAGTTTTCAGACCAAACAATAATTAACATGACTTATCTTTACCTTCTTTTTCCTCTGGCAGCTTTATTAAGTACTGGAGGATATTCATTAAGCTCTGTATCTGATGCTGGACACTAAATTCACAACAGACTGAAATCCAAAATTCAGTGTCTGCCTCTAAAATAGCATCCTATATAGAGAAGTGAAATAGGTTAAGAAAACTGTAGCTATAAAATTTATATTAGTTAGTAAACATAAATAAGGGAAATGTTTTTAAAATATTTCTTAGCACACAGCCATTACAGAGTACGGTCATATGTGTTACCAGATGAATGACAGCTCCCATATAAAAAAGCAATGAACAAGAATTATGAAGGCAAAATTCCAGAGTAATTTGCATAATGATAGCTCCCTATCTAAGAAGTCATTTAAAAATAGTGCTGGACCTGTAAGTTCTACCTTCATCTCTCCTAACAGGGCTCTTCAAAAATATCACCCACAACTTACTGATTTCAATGACACTTACACTTTTCCCTTTCCCCATGAAATACCTTCAAAACCACTTTCAAGATACAGTTTAATTACTTCAGTCAGATACTTTATAGGGCTTAAAAAGAATCATGCAGCCTGGTACCAGACCTGTTTTTCAGAAAAATTAAATTATTCTCAGGAGATGTTTTGTGGCTACCAAGGATATTCAGAGTACCACAGGATCTGAAACCAATTCTAAAGAATGTCTGTAACATCTTTAAAACCAGTCTGAGCCAACACTGCTAAATTACACACATCAAGTACCACTATTCTCATGTTTAAATTGGCAAATATCACTAAGCCTGTGTGAAACATCACTATTTTCCTTCTTATTGCCCCACTCTATATTCTGACCTTTTCTCCATAGGCAGCCACCAGCACTGTTTTAGTGACGTATTGTTCAAAAAGTAAGATGAGTAGAACCCAGAGGAATCTTTCTGCACCAAGCGTATCAACAAGTTGAGTAAGGATGGGCAGGCGTCTGTGCTCCGGAACATGTGGCAGTGCATCCACAAACACATTAACGATTTTTACCACGATTTCCTCCACGTTTCTTGTGACTTCCACAGAATCTCCACCATCAGACTGCAGAACAGCAAGTGGTGATAGTAAGTAGGCGCAAACCCGTACTCCATCACACAAGCTTTAAGTGGACATGAAAAGGCCTTCAGATGTGCCCCAAAAAAGTTGCTAAAAGAATTTGAACCACCAGAGCCTTCCTGGTGGTGCAGGCAGTTGAGTGAAGCGCTGTGAGACTGTCTGCAGCCTCTGCAGTGCCGGTTCGATCCCCGGCGGCCTCAGAGCAATCCACATGGCGAGCAGACCTCTCCTGTCTCACCGGCTGCTCCCCTCAGCAGTGTATTTTGTCAGTCTGCCTGTTCTGTTCCCCACTCTGTCTCTGGTGAATCCTCTTACCCTCCCCCACATCTAGCCTATACCCCAGTTCTTGTATAAATAAATCTTTAAAAAAATAAAAATAAAAATAATTTGAACCACCAAAGGCCCATTGCAATTATTCAACAAGCATATATTAAGTCTTAGGTGACATCTGACCCCGAGGGGAATACAAAGGATAGGAAGTAAGTCCTGCTTCAAAGGAGATGTATAATCTTATGGAATAAAATGCACATGAAAAGACAACAACAGCAGGCACTAAATGGCAGATGCCAAATACGTGGCATGGACAGCCATCTAGGAGGCAGCACAAATCAAGCTGGCTTTGTGTCGTGCCTCAAGAAGAATGGGTATCGGGCCTCCCCTGGTGGCACAGAGGTTGAGCACTGGGTTGCGAAGCTGCCCGCAGCCTCTGCGGCGCCGGTTCGATCCCCGGCTGCTCCCCGGCCACTGGAGGAGGGTCCCACATGGCACGCAGACCTCTCCTGCCGCCCGCTGCTCCCCTCAGCAGTGTACTTCGGTCCTTCTGCCTGCTCTGCTCCCCGCTCTGGCTCTGATGAATCCTCTCACCCTCCCGCGCTTCTGACTGTACCCAGTGCTTGTATAAATTAATAAATAAATAAAATAAAAATAAATAAATCTTTAAAAAAAAAAAAAAGAAGAATGGGTATCATCTAGATAAGCAGAACACAGAAGAAGCCAACAACTTTGTCACTTCAGAATAAAGTAACAGCAACAAATCATTGTACACTAGTACTGCACTAGAAATAGAGATGCTAAGAGAAAGAAAGAATGAATACAGCTGACCCTTGAACAATGGAGATGTTAGTGTCATTAACCTGAATCCAGTAGAAAATTCACATGTAACTTCTGACTGCCCCCAAACTTAACTACAGTCATCCCTTGGTCTCCATGAGGCGGCTGGTTTCAGAACAGCCCCTCCTGATGCCCCGTAGATTTGGACACCAAAATATGTAGATGCTCAAACCCGTTAGTCAGTTCTCTGTATCCACAGGCTGCATATCTGTGCATTCACCCGACCAACATACCAGGTTGGCTGAGTCCATGAACACAGAACCTGCAGACAGGGAGAACCAACTTTATTTAATGAAAATAAAAACTAAACTATAATTGAACACCCCGCCCAGCACAAAGCAGTAAGTAAAATACCACGATACTAAAGGGTCAATTGTGCTTGAGTGATTAAACCAGTGTCTTCCTTGTACTTCTAACTTGTCTCAACTTGGCTCTCTACTAAATCAATCTATATGACACTCTCCACACACTGTGCACACTGCTACACCAGGCCTTCTATCATGCTATTGACAATGCAGCCATTTCACTGATGAAATCCTATCCTCTTTCATACAGTAAAATTCTATTTCTTATACAGTTTTGTGGTCATCCTGACCTATATGAACTTTTCTCAATTCTGGACTCTCCAGTGTTTTTCTATTCTACTGGTATAAATCCCATTAATGCATGGTCATTTTTCTTGCTACAAATGTTCCCTGTACTCGCCAAACTGTTGGACACAGAAAGCACCAATCTAGTATCAAGACTGCAAGGAGATGCTGAGCATGGTCACCCCTGGCATGGACAATAACATGAGAAAAGACATTAAACTGTGCTTGTGTGAGGAGGAGGGGGTTTAAACAGAAAACTCAAGTAGATGACCAAGTGCTTTCAAATTCAGAGCTTGGTAAATATTTGTTGAACTGCAAATTAACAAATTTGCTGCAGTACCTCTAAACCTTCCTATCTTCCTCAACATACATAAGGGCGCTATATTGCAGTTCTACCCTTCAGCAACAGCAGAGCCAGTAATGTGTTTATTCATGTTCTCGAAAAAGACATTGTTCCCATGATTACCTCTTCATTTCATCGTTCTAAAATTTAAGAGGCACAAATACTGGAGCATTTCAGAAAGACCTTAACTGTCACTTATTTACTACGACATGAATTTAATACTATGTAAAAATTTCTAAGTAACAAATACTAGTGACAATAATATAGAGAGCTTACCTGAATAAGTGCTGGAATAACCATTTTCACTGTCTTGTTAATTACTTGAAAACTGTAAGTATCATCTAGACGCATCACACTGGCTCCCATAAATGTAAAAATAGACATAATATTGTGTAGAACTTTATCCTGAAAGAAAACAAATCTTTCAATACTTTCTACATTAAACACATCAAATGTCAATTATTCATTATAACTCAGCAATAAAAAGAAAAATAATGTAAATATGGGCAAAGGGCAAATAGTCAATAAACACAAGAAAAGATGTTACCATGCATTAGAAAAATGCAAATTCAACACAAAGTATCACTTCACACCCACTAGGGCAGCTACAATGAAAAAAAAAGACAGATAAAAACAATTATCAATAGGGATATGGGAAAATTAGAACCCTCATCCACTGTTGGTGGCTGTAAAATGGTACAAACACTTTGGAAAATAAGCTGGTAGTTTCTCAGAAAGTTAAAGATTAAAAAAAAAGTTAAAGATAAAGCTAGTATTGACCCATAAATTTCATTTCTAGATATATAACAAAGAGAACTGAAAACTAAGAAAACTAAAATTTCATATGTGAATGTGTCTCATAAAATTCATAACAGCCAAAAAGTAGAAACAAATGTCCATTCACTGATGAGCAGATTAAAAAAAAAAAAAAAAAAAACCAATGGAATACTATTCACAGAAAGAATACCAATTCAAGTTCCAAAATAGATGAACCTTGAAAACATTATGCTAAGTGAAAGAAATTATACACAAAAAAGGCCACATTATTTGATTTCTTTTATAGGAAATGTTCAGAGTAAGTGAATCCTTGGAGGCAGAAAGTGACTGGTGGTGGCCAGCGGTATGAATGGCAGCTATAGAGGCAATGGGGAATGACTGCTAATGAGCTTGGGTTCTTTCTGGGATGACAAAATGTTTTGAAAGTACATAATGGTGATGCTTACACTACTTTGTGAATTTACTGAAACCTCAGAATTTCATGGTACATGAACCATATTTCAATAAAAACAACATAAACACTATCATTGTTTCTTAGTTATTTCTGGATTATCATCAACCTCTTTGAGAGCTACTGACCACACACACACATAATCTTGCACTTAATTTTAGTAGATTAAATGACCCCTCCCCCCTAAAGCTCATGGACAACCTCTCATCTCTGACCTAAATCCCTAATATGAAAACAGTTTTAATCTCTTCAAATATCTCTAAGAGATACATTTTCATAAGGGTCATGATTTCTTTAATGAAGGTAGTTTTCCAATCAAATTAATTTTCTTAAATTCACTGGCTGAAAGCTATTTAAGGATTATCTGAGGATCCATGGGATAGTTGTTTTTTTCAAATAACACTACCACTTACTGGATAGTTAACATTTGTGCCAGGCACTACATTGAAAGCTGACCATAAATTACCCAATTGCATTCTTATAATAACCCTACAAAAGATTACTATTATTTCTACTTCACAAAAAAAGGGAAACCAAAGTTTAGCAAGATCAAACAGCTTGTGTTGTCCTAGCTCTCAATAAGCAGGCCTGAAGAGTCCCAGCATCCAAAGGTTCCAAAGTCCACTGAATCAAATACTGAAATCAAACCAGCAAGTTCTGTGTATTTCCATAACAGAAAAAAAAAAAAAAAATATGCTAGAGACTTAAACCATTAATACTTACAGGAAATATCCCAGCAACAGTACCCAAAAGTAAAAGGGCATGGTGATGGGTCTGAGGCATCTCTGAAACACGGATGCACTGAACTATCAATTCTACATTGAACTTCTCCTCATCTAGAACATCTAATGGTGAAAAAAAAAATATTGCTCAGTCTCTCGGTGATAGGTACATTCTTACTCAAAGTAGATAATTCTTCTAATCTTTTCTCCCAACAAAGTATATACCTTTTGGTATTTTGCCACCATCTGGTGAGAGTTTTTGGCAGATGTTGAGTAAACAACTCAGAATTAATTGTTTGGTATATTCCATATTTCCCTGCTCTGGTGGCAAAGGCTCTAAACATCTTCAGGACCCCCGGTTGGGAAATGATAGGAAATGAAGAATTGAGTAATTTCAGTGATGCACAAATCATCATTGTCCAGAACATACATAAGGAAAAACAAAAATATTAACATTAAATATAACATCCATAAACATGATATAACAATCCTAATTCTATTTTTTTTTTTCTTCACCTAGGCAGGTGTTCATCTCTCCTTCTATTGCATTTTCCATTAACCAGTATGTAATCTTGGAGAAACCCTGAGAATTACCTTTCTTCTCAGATGAAAGTACTCATCCACAATTAAATAGCATACCCTTTAGCTATCTATCCAGTCATTCTTACCTAAAAAATAATGTGGGTATCACACTACATCTTTAAATACAATTAATGAAACCCCAGGGACATGATATTTTAAAATTAAGAAAGAATGTAAGCTGGCAGGTAAGTTGGTCATTCACTACCTAATACAAGGATGAAGGTTAGTTTGGGACAATGGGCACCTAAAAAAATCCTTTTAATCTATTATAGTGTTTAACTAGCTTTATTTTACAGACTAGTTAAACAAAAGAATATGTTAAAGGTACTGTTAAGTAATATATTATGGGCAAGAATTCGAATCCTGTTGTCTCAATAGATATTAAAGCAAGTATCATTACCTTGATAGCAGACTAAAAAGAGTTGGTATCAGTATCTGAGGATTTTTGAGTTTCTTTTTGTGCTGTAGCAATTCTAGGATGAGGGTTACTCTTTGCCAGTAAGAACCTCCAACTTCCTGAACAGATTCCAGATCTTGTGATTTTCTGGGAGACAGGTAAGACACAAAGTTGGAAGAGCAAACACGATTAATGTTGAATAAAAATGATTATACCAAATTGATGGGTATCAAAAATGTTCCCAATAAATTCTCTTACTTCTGTTGCATTTTCTGCCTTCTTGTTTGCTGGATTGTGCCTAAGGACTTAGTTTTATCTGGTGGCTCCAGTTCTATTCTGACTTGTTCCGCATTAACAGAAATCTGAAATATGAAGCATGACTGATGATATAAATCCATGGGATAAAATTAGAGTTGTGTTAAGAGATACAATAAAAGTATTTGTGCCCACTTTACACCTTCTTATGCCTCTAGTGCACAACCTAATTCCCAATGGTACACTGCTGACCATTTCCTATATATTTCTGGGGGGAGATTTTCCATATACACAAGCAGGAATGTATTACACACATTGTTCTGTCCATTAATTTGTTTCACTTGAAGTATCTTAAAAGTCTAATTATATACATTAAAATTTTGAGAACTGCTATGTCTGGATATGAGGACATCACCATATTATTATGTGAACATGCTTTCCTAAAAAACACAAGTAAAATCACAAAATAACTAAGTGAATACTCCAGTGTACAGCTAGTTTTCCATATACATATAAACCAATGAGCAAATTCTCAATTCCATCATATATATGTAATTTAATACCTATTTAAATTAAGACTAGAGCCTCCCTGGTGATGCAAGGGGTTCAGTCTCAAAGTAATCAAGCTACCTGGCAGCCACTGCAGCATGAGTTCGATCCCCACCCAGGGAGCTAACCCACATAGTGCAGCAGACCTCTCCTGTCTCACCCTCTGCTTCCCTCAGCAGTATATTTCAGTCAATCCACCTGTTCTGCTTCCCACTCTGTCTCTGGTGAATCCTCTCACTCCCCATCCCCCGACCCCTCTAGCCTACACCCCAGCTCTTATATGCATAAATTAAATAAATCTTAAAGTTGAATAATCTGTTACCCAGTTGAACAATGAGTTGACACACATTTATATTTCTTTCATAAAACAGTCTGTAGATACCACCTAATATGACCAAACTAACATACACATTCTTCCTAGCTAAAATAATAAATATTTCATAATATAAAAATAATGGTGATGATTTATCATTTTGATTTTGGACCTCTCTATGGCCTTTTCTATGATTCTGGTTAATGGTAACATCTGACTTTCTAAAACCACTATAACATGGAGGCTATTTAAACATGTTGTTTAGAAGACAGCAAATTATAGTGCCACTTACCCCTTTAAACACACTACTAATAGTCTGAACACAATGTGAATTTTTACAGTTCACTAATAAGTCAAACAACATGCACAAAAGCTTCTGCTGAACTTTTTCATCCGATATAGCTGCAAAAAAGGGCTTTGTAATCTAGGAGGCAAAAAAAAAGTAAATTGAGCTCAATGAACAAATCTGGACTCAAATCTTTATATCACTGTTTCAATATAAAATTCTACTCCAAATTATGTTATTTAAAATGCAATTATTTTTAATGACCTATGTACATTGTTTTGTGAAATGGGTGAAATATAGCATATTCCTTTAAAACATAGCCATTGTACTTTATTTATCTTTACTAAGTAAAACAATACAAGTTTTGAATATGCTTTAGTTCCTGAAAGAAGTCACTGACCTTTTCGAGGGCTGTGATCTGAATGGCTGGCATTCCTGCATGAAGTTCCTTTGTTGTATGCACAGCTTTTATAAAGAGATCTAGACTCTTGGGGTCTTTATGTAAAAGAGAAGCTGAATATTCATTATATTTTCCCAGAATAAGTTGCAAAACAATGGCCTCATCTTTCAGGACAGCTGTGGGCTCCTTCTGGATCTTTTCTAGTAGTTGTTCAGCCATAGGCAATAGCTGAGAAAGCACCATCTAGAGTGTGGAAAATTTATTAATAAATACAATCTATAGTGATAATTATTTTTGATTGCTTTACAGACATCCAAAGGTATCAATGCTGGAAGACTGGGAGCTTAGCCTGGAGAAAATCCCAATAATGTTGACCTTTTGGACATGAGTAATGGCTATTAATCCAATCATGGCACACAAGCCTACCCACTCTGATAATTTTGTCTGTGATGATCAAAAGCTCCAAACCATTCAGAAATGATTAATCTGAATGTTCCAAAACTTTCTGAAAACAGCAAACACTAATTATGTTTTAAACTATAACAGCAAATTTTACTTTTCCCCAACAATGTTTTCAACTTAGTGTTAACATGATATTAATTCAAATTATTTACACAGCATTTTTAATGACTAAACCAGGAACTAGCAAATCTTAGCTTATGGGCCAAATCTACAACACCATCTGTTTTTGTAAATTTTGATTACTAAAACACAGTCATGTACATTCATTTACATATGATCTACAGCTGCTTTTGCAATATGACAGAGCTGAGTAGCTGCGACAGAATGCAAGGCCCACAAAGCCTAAAATATTTACTATCTGGCCCTTTACAGACTAAGATTGTCAATTACTACTTCGAACTATACCAGGGATGACACAGAGCTGACAAATATCATCTGCTTGTTCACATTAGGAAAATGTAACCGAAAGTTCTCCATTTTACCCGTTCTAGTTCACCAGATTGCACTAAGTTCAAGGCCTGTACAGTACACAGGATTTTTTGAACAGAGGAACTTTTCTCTACTGACCAGCAAGTACTATCACATAAATAAAATTTTCATGATTTCTTTTTTTTTTTTTGGTATCACAGGATTCCCTAGCAATATAATTTTCTAGGTTTTTCCCCTAGAATAATGTGCTATCATGAATGTTTATAACCTCTTATGGCCAACAGATTAGACAAAAAGCAACAGTTTTTCCAGTAGTGGTTTTCTAAGTTATTTTAAAATTCATTTAAAATCAAGTTAATTTGGGCTCCCTGGTGGCCTAGGGGTTAAGTCTCAGCTCCACGACACTGCAAAGGCCTATACTGAAGGCCTGAGTCCGATCCCATGGGGAGCTAACCCACATGGTTCAGCAGACATCTCCTATTTGCCGGCTGCTCTCCCTAGCAGTATGTTTTAATAGATCTGGCTGTTCTACTCCCCACTGTTTCTGATGAATCCTCTCAACCACTGCACCTCTGGCATGCACCCCAGTTCTTCTATGCAAAAATAAATAAAATCTTTAAAAACCAATCAAGTTAATTCAACAGAGATAACACAATTTTAAGATAGCAATAAACACCAATACTTGCTTTATGTATCCTTCATTTTTTCTCCACCTCCATGCTTTCCTTTCCCAAATTAATAAGAAAAGGTTTACTTCTGAATGTATAAATATAACTTGTAAATGACTTCTTCGTACATGAGTAGTTATCATCTTTGGTAACAAGTGAATATACCATCCACATAAACTGCACCTACCTCACTGTTGACTTTCTGCAGTATTTTCATCAAATCTTTTGCAATGTAAGATGGGCTGCTATATACACAATAAAGTATGTTTTTCAAAGTTTCAGACAACTTCTGATGAGATTTCACTTTCTTCTCCCTTTGTAGTTCCTCAAATAAAGTAGCCAAATCCTAGAATACCAAAAAGAAAATTGGCATAAAAAGTGTTAGATTTACAAAGGTTAAACATACCAATTACGGAAGATTCTTTCCCAAATGTGACACTGCTTATAATTCTTCATTTGCCCTTGAGATCATAAAAGGAAAGGGTATTAATACCCCTCAGTAAGCCTACTATGAAAAGCAAAACAGGGCTTCCCCGGTGGCACAGGGGTTGAGTACTGGGCTGCGAAGCTGTCGGCAGCTCTGCAGTGCCAGTTCGATCCCCGGCCACCGGGTGAGGGTCCCACATGGCACGCAGACCTCTCCTGCCGCGCCCGCTGCTCCCCTCAGCAGTGTATTTCATCAGTCTGCCTATTCTGTTCCCCACTCTGGCTCTGGTCAATTCTCTTACCCTCCCGCGCTTCTGACTGTACCCAGTGCTTGTATAAATAAATAAATAAATCTTTAAAGAAAAAAAAAATTAAGAAAGAAAAGCAAAACACTGGCCAGCCAATGAAAAAATGAAAAGAGACAGTAAAAGTGAAACATGGTAATAGTCTCTTTGAAAAATGAAGAAAAATGTGTAGATACTGACAGGTCAGCGTCTAGATTCACTTAGTAAATCAAAACCTACAAAGCATGAGGGCAAGAAAGGAGAAAGTTGTTCATGTGCACACACAGACTTACATAGAGTTTGGCGAGTTTACCTGAACAACATAGGAGGCATCTGAGGTGATCTCCTCTGCTTTAGGAACCAAATGATCTATCACCAGTTGAAACTGGGATGCCACTCCACTGAGGGTCTGGAGACAATAAATGGCAGCCCTCCGTACTTCCTTTATGGGGCTTCCCAGATTAATGAGTAGCGATGTCACCACTAAAATCCAAAGGGGAAAAAATTGTAAGTAATAGTCTAACAAACTGAAATAGCACAAAATTGAAATAGCACTGAAGGGCACATGAGGGAAAGTTTTCCTCACAGGTGAAACTCCCTCTTTGAGGACCGCTCACTATTTTACTGTCCTAGAAAAATGACAGTCATATTTTAGTGTATTCTTTTGAATATATACAAGTGCACACACACGCACATACACACACACCCCGACCTGCACTAACTGCTACCATATCTCAATGTAAATTGGAAGTATTTTCCACAGAATTATCTATATCTAGGGTCCTCCCTGGTGGCTCAAGGGGTTAAGATGCAACCTATTAGCTATCCACAGCCACTGCAGCACGAGTTCAATCCCCGGCCAGGGAGCAACCCACATGGCACAGCAGACCTCTCCTGACTCGCCCACTGCTCCCCTCAGCAGTGTATTTCAGTCAATCCACCTGTTCTGTTCCCCACTCTGTCTCTGGTGAATCCTATCACCCCCCACACCCCTCTGTTCTTGTGAGTTTAATTTTTAGTGCAGAAATATTTTAGTCAAAAATTTTTCCTAATTTTATATGTTGTTTATGGCCCTCCCTAATCTAACAGAACTCAAAAATACCTATCTCTATATTTAGAGAGATCATATATATTCATGTTTTCTCCTAATACTAGAGATAAGCAGAATTAGGTTGGAGTCAAGCTTTTTTAAATACTTTAAAATGGCTATCCAGATTTTCTACCTAAGAATTCCTCATAAAACTGGAATTTTATTTTATCATTCATACATTCCATCAGTATCTGAAACTCGTCTATTTCTATCTTCTAGAACTAACAACTATGCTCAATAATAGTGATGAATTTAGTAGGAAAGCTTTTCTTTCACCACTTACGCAGTGAAAATGTTAGCTTTTGATGCGAAAAGTATTTTTATGATGTTACTTCTACTTTGCTGTCAATTAGGAATCATTATGGATTTTTATCTTGCTTTTCCAGATCTTTGGACATGTTTTCTCCCTTAGAACACTGACATGGCCAACCATATTGAGAGTTCCTTATCTTAAACATATTTTGTATTGTTTAAATACAAATGGGCATTTTTTTAATATGCTAAAAAACTACAAATATTCATGATCTTTGCATTATTATTACAGGCAATTATGTTCTATAATTTTGTTTAATCTCTGTGTTGTCAATTTCCAATATTATGCTAGTTTTGGACAAAGAATTTGGAAGCTTTCCTTCAAAGTTAAATGCATTTTTGACATCAACTGAATAGGTGTGTGTGTTTTTTTTTTTTTTAATACTCTGGAATAAAGAAATATTTAAATTCCTTTTATTGTAATTAGTTATATATGCTTCCATGCTGTCCACTGGAGCAAATTGTTTTTAATTTGCTAGAAATGATCCGTTTCACATACTCTATTTCTGGAATGCTAACGAAGAGCTTGACTAGCTTTCAAACTTTTCTAAAGAGGTCATGGGAAAGCCAGAAGTTCTGGTCTCTACAACATTAATTTATAAAATAAAGTCAGAAGCAATCAGTTAGAATGTTGAATTCATACAAATGTCAGCTTCTGTCGAAGATAATCTATTTGTTAAAAATCCTTGAATACTGGAAAAGAACTTTTGGAAAAATTCAAGTTCTAAATGCAGACTACTATAGCTAAAATGTTCCCATTAGGTACTAGAACACCAGGTAAGTCAATTTTAAGCTTTGTTTTTAAACATACAAGTAAAGTTACTGTATTGATCAGGCATAAAAAGCCAAAGGCAATGCTCATCATCTTACAAATGATGTTAAATATTTTTATATTAAACAAAGATTTACTAGAGGCAAGACTGAACTAGAACACATATTTGCCCAGAAAGTAATAAACTGGTGTTGATTCTGAAAATAACTTAAAAATTCATAAAATTAGATAGTATATATATTTTTTCTTTTGAAAAGCATAATTTCTGGGGTAAATATAATAAAACAAATATCAGCCAACACTTCCTAGACTTTTCACAGAGAAGGTATGGCGAGCAGCTCACTGTGGATTTAAAGTAAAGGGCTCTGAGGACAGGTGTAATGCCTAAGAGGCCTACTTGAGACACTTTGGAACAGTAGTGCACAGTCTTTGAGTTTTCAAGTAGAACAAGGTGTATCTCTCCTGTTTTCAGTGGAGCACACTGACAGCCTAGGTTGTTTGATGAAAAGGTACTTTAGGAAGGGAGGAGATGACAGAAGACAAGGCAATAGGGGTAGGCAAGGAATATGCCTTCAGGAAAAGTTGAATATTTAACAAAGTTTTGGTTACAATTGTAACATATGCTCTTTCAAGGAACTAATGAAAGATAAATACTGAAGAATTGTTGTCAGAAAAGTAAATTATCATTTTGCTTTAATAGCATATTTATAAACAACGATTTTGGGGGGTAAATAAAAAATCAAAACATCTTCAAATTTCCCAAGGGCTACTCTTATTATCTATTAAAATCATAATAGTTTGAAATATCAGTCACAACCCATCATCCTCATCAACTTTCTCATCTTTAATCACTATAAGGTCTAATTCTGCCAGATGAAATCACTTATTAGCAGCATTGAAAATATGTCAATCCATTTTTCAATATTCATGAAAATTTTATCTTTTGTAAAATCTACAGGTTTACTTTATAAAAAAAAACAAATTTTATTTTGGGGTGTTTCATTAGTGAACATCCAACCTGAACATGACATCTGAGAAAGGAGTTAAAACACTTTAATAAATTGTGCTATCTCCATACTAAGAAATACTCTACAGACATTTTCAAAGGATAAATTTCTATATTTTTTTAAATATAAAAAGATAAATAGTTGAATACTGAATTGTATTATAGTGTTTTGACTTCTTAATATAACCCTGACACTACTGAAGTTCAGAAAATAAAAGCTGGATATTAGGAATCCATGGATAATAAGAATTCATCTGTCATTTCTATTACTTGTAATTAGTAAGATACTGCAACTGACATTAACATCTTAAAAACAATACTTACAAGCAATCAAAAATAGTTTATAAGATAAAGATTTGAGGGGCCTCCCCTGGTGGCACAGAGGTTGAGCGCTGGGCTGCAAAGCTGCCCGCAGCCTCTGCAGCGCCAGTTCGTTCCCCAGCCACCAGCGAGGGTCCCACATGGCACGCAGATCTCTCCTGCCACCCGCCGCTCCCCTCAGCAGTGTATTTCGTCAGTCTGCCTGTTCTGTTCCCCACTCTGGCTCTGGTGAACCCTCTCCCCCAACCATGCCTCTGACTGTACCCAGTGACTGTATAAATAAATAAATAAATAAATAAATCTTTAAAGAAAAAAAGGATAAAGATTTGAGAATGAGCATTATTTTTTTAAATTCCCTGTAATTTTTAATGACTGAAAAAAACCAACCCACATAAACCAACAGAGAAAGCATCAGCAGTTGGACATGATAGAATATAACAATGCTATTTGCAATACCTGGAGAAGATGTGGATGCCAGCTGATGTTTATACTGTGCCTTCTGAGAAGACAGCATTGCACAACCTATATAAAGAGCTTGAGTCTGCAGCACTGTTTTCACGCAGCAATTAAGTGGATTTGAAAGGCTAGAACCATAGGTCCACAAAACAGAAAAAAACTTGAATAACTGAAAAACATCTCCAAGATGCACCTTAAAAAAATGAAAGTGTAGCTTTATTTTCAGTCATGTAAGTTGGTTCCAAATTCTCTTTTCATTAGTGTAGAGTTATGGAAAACAAATGATTTACTACAATGTTTTGCTTTATCTAATTACTTCAAATTATTTTAAACTACTGGGAAGGATATAAGTTAATTCAGGGGACTACCAATAATTTTGCACCTGAACACATTTAACAAAAAAAAACAAGGACACTAAGCAGAAAAACCAAGACAAGAGTGAAGCCAAGGAAGAGTGAAGCCTCATCAAGAAAGTACATCGGGGCCTCCTTGGTGGTGCAAGGGGTTAAGCACCGCACTATGAAGCAATCCGCAGCCTCTGCAACACAAGTTTGCTGGCCAGTCGGCCAATGAGCAACCCACATGGTGCAGCAGACCTCTCCTGTTTTGCCCGCTACTCCCCTCAGCAGTGTATTTCAGCCTGCCTGTTTTGTTCCCCACTCTGTCTCTGGTGGGTCCTCTCACCCCCCAAATCTCTTGCCTGTACCCTAGCTCTTTTATGCATAAATAAATAAATCTTTAAAAAAAAAATAAAAAAGGAAGTACATCAAAGAAATGGTGAGCAATGTCTATTTTGTCAAATGCTGCTGAGAGGGCAAGGAAGACAAGAAAAAAGAATTGATCACTGGTCCTGGTCACATGGAGGTCCACTAGTGCAATGACAAAATCTCTTAATTAACTGAGTGACTTTGCATATGTACATCACTTCTCTGAACATTAGTTCCTCACTGGCAATGTGTAGGGTAAGGTAAAAAATCAGGCTTTTCTGCCCTCCCACCATCCAGATAGATGAGGGAACCCTGTGATCCTGAATGCATGCCTGATGGCGGGCACCTGAAGTGGGTACACCTGTGCTAAGACGGTGCTTTTTAAGGGCGGTGTCATGGGGACGCCAGTAGAAGCCGAAAGAGAAGAAGCCCAAAGCAGAAGCAGAGAACACCAGAGAGCCCAGATAGAGTGAGGATTTGCTGGGGGCTGGGAGGACTGCCAGCCTCCCGGCCCCCCAGCACCCCTGCCTGCCATATGCGTGGTGAACCCCAATAAAAGACCTGCAAAAAACCACTGAGGACTCTGACTGCTCCTTTACCCTGTCTGCATGGGATCAGAAAACCTGCACTGTGTCCATTCCTGACTCTATACAATGCCATTAAATCAACGCCTGTGTTTATTATCAGAGTCTTCACTGTTTACCTTCATTTTCACTACAGACTGTCATAACTAAAAGAACTAGCAAAATCTTGAAGCAAAGAGTATGCCTGAAAAAGATGAGCCTAGTACCTGTATGAAAAGTTTCATCAGTACCCTGAAATGAGTGGCATCAGCACCACTGAGTATCATCTCAAAAAGCCCAATAAGTAAGTGCAGATAGTCTCTGCTATCTTCTTTCAGTTGTTCAGGATTCCACCATATAGCATCTAAGGACATGAAAAGAAAGAGAAAGGGTATGTGAGATCATATTATACACTGTTGGGAAGTTCTTATCCATAACAAAGAGCTGTGAGTTTTCCAAAGTATCACATTCTTAAGAGTTACAGTTTATCCTACCTTTAGGAAAAGATTTAGGAGCCTTTAGTGCATGAATAAAATTTTTCAGTGAAAAAACAAGTAAAACAGAATCCTCCACAGGAATCCTCTGGGCAGTGTTGAGCTGTTCTATGTAATGTGCCCACAGTTCCACTGGCAGCCCTCTGTCCATCATTAGCTCAAAATGCCATTCTGTGGGGATTTCCTGAAAAGTTAAAGGGAACAGAAAGCACAAACTTAAAGGGGTCTGAACACAGGTTATATAGTAGATTACAATGGCAAAGGTAATATATAAAATTTTGTCTCTATTTTTTCTATATTTCCTTATACTACTGTCCCTAAAAACAACTGCTATTTATATAAATTGTGTTTAGCAAGTAAAGGGTAGGAATAAGTAGGCACATTTATAAACAGAAAAAAAAAAAGGAATTGAATTTCCAAGAGATCCTTTAAGGGACTTTTCTCATGGGAAAATCTCCAAACTTGCAGGTGATTCTAAACAAGTAGCAAAAAGTTAAGGTAGTTAAGTTCAGTTTGAGTAATCATAAAGATGATACCTGGGAAAGAACCATCAGATACAAAAACACTAACCCTGAAATTCCATATTCAATTAAATTTTCTGGAAATTAGGCACTGGAAAAATGTCTAATCCACTATCTGCTGCTAATCAAGACTGCTTCACATTTTTGCCCTAAAATCCAAAGATTCAGTAGCTTGACCTCCAATTGTTAGTTCTGCTAGGTTACCAGGCCAGGCTATCACACAACATGCAACTTTCTGGAGACACTGTACTTCTTACCACTGCGGATATCACACTTCTGAGCTTCTTTATTTTTTTCTGCAACAAACTGAAGACTCTTATTGCAAAGGGAAAGTGCGTTTCTTTTAAAGATGAACAACAAGCAACAAGAACAGCTGTGATCACATGAAAAGTCACTTTCTGCTTCAGATTAAAGGACTCTTTTTCCCCAACACTTATCAAATCCTCCACCTTGAAAAAAATACATTCTATTACCAGTAGCTCTTGAGCTGAATAAAACAATTTTCTCTACCGCAAACCTATTATAAGTTTTATAGTATATTTAAAGTGAGACAATAAAAATAGTCTTAAAAAAGTAGTTAAGTGCTGATTTCTAACCAGTTATTTATAAAAACAAGTAATTTCAAAAATATTACAGATGTAACCTCTTGTCAAATGCATGTTTTAAAATTACAGATCGATAATCTTTACAAAGATTTAATTACTAAGGCAAAAGAATTATTTCCTCTTTTAGTTGTATTTTGCTATTTTAACAAAAAACATGACTTTAATATTTTAAATGAAAGCTAAAAAAAGGAATAACAAAAAATTAAGTAAAATTAAGCATTTCAAATAATATACAGAATACAATGAACATACTACACATGTTTTAAGCATAACAAAGGCCTCAAGAATATAAAGTTATTTTAAAAAGAAGACTCTAGCAAGCAAATGCTATAAACAGAATAAAACTGTGAGACAGAAAACCAGGGGGTGAACTAAGATAGCATACCTACCATCTTTAACATAGAAGATGGATTCCCTGAATTTATATTGCCAGCCAACAACTCAATCATCTTCTGATTTGCTACACCAATTAATTTTCCTGACTTTGTGCTTTTAATGACATTTTCAAGAGCTATAACAAAAAAAAAAATAAATAAAAATCAGAGGTCCTTCTGTCAGCAACACTCACCAAAGGAAATGCAGAGTAAGGAGTCTAAGCAACAATTTTACAATTTTTCTATGAAGGTTTCCTTTCTATATTTCCTTTTATCCAATTCTGAATTTGCCTGCAGGTAGCTCACATTTTCACTTCATGCACTCCTAAGGGGAACAGCTGAGGAGATAGGACAGGTCTGCTGCACCGGATGTGTGTTAGCTCCCTGGCTGGGGACTGAACTCAAGCCATAGCAGTAACAGGACTGAGACTTACCCATAAGCCATGAGGGAGGCCCTCTACTTTTTATCTTAGAAACAATTTTTAAAAATCTTAACATAATAAACATAATAAAACATAATAAAAAATCTAAACATAATAAAATTAACATAATAAAGATGACTTTCTAATAAAGTTTATAAGCAATTTTTAATTGTACTTATCTTTTAAAGTGTTACCTATTCACTTTTTCTAAAAAATAAGTGAACTTCTTACCTTCTTTCCAGCCTTTTAATATAGGATGCAGAGAGCAAATTCCTGATTTTGATAAATATATAGCCATTTTCAACTCAGCAGATTCCCTATCATCAGTACTGATGATCATAAACGGCAATAGATGAACAACCACCTGGTTTGAGAACTGATCACTTTCACTCAGTATCTCTTCTTTAATTAATATGTCTGCTGCTATCTCAAGTACCTTGTACCTAAAAGATATGTAAGCACATTTGGTTGAGACATTACACACTTTAATTCAGTCAAAACCATCACTACATGTTTCAGCTCAACTGACATTATTCTGGTCTTATTAACACACATATTAAAGATGTGTGATAGAGGTACCAGAACATCACTTAATTATTCATGCTAGGAAGAGTTATTTGGGACAGTAATTTTAAACTGCTAACTATATCAAAAAATTTTTTTGGTCAATCATTAGGTTAAGTATAACATAAAACACTTATCACACTATATGTTTCTACCTACTAAAAAATCAGTCACTCCTAAATCCAAAAGTATTTTCTGAAAAAATTTTATGGGTTAAGAACTAAATATGAGATATAAAAACCTGTAAGACATGACCTCATCCTCTCAGAAGCTTATCATTTTTCCATGCAAAAGCTTAGGTGCCAAAAATTAAATAATCAGAGTTCATCAAATACTTAAAAGATATTGTGTGTTTCTGAGCTTATTTTTTGTTTAATGTATTTGCTTTAATTTTAAAGTAAAATACTACCCATGTTAGAAAGAAAATCAAATGTAGTTGTGTGTGTGTGTGTGTATATATGTAATATATATATGTAATGTACTATATGCAAACTTCTATATAGTAAACTTCTTCACATCCAATTTCCCAGATTTCAGTATACCATACATTATATAACATATTCTTTCCCCATTTTATTTAGAAAAATTTCAAATATAGCAAATAATATAGAATCCATAACAAACTCAAATGAATTATTTTTATGACTCATTTTATATCAGTTCCAACACCTTGATCAAAGGGCCACATAACTAAATTCTAAATTTTATAAGAATGTATAAAAAAAGAAAAAGAAAATCAAAATAAACTTTATAATGGTATTTAATCAATTCAAAACAGTGTGAGGAGAAATGAGTACATACCATCCTCTATTCTTTGAAAGTTCTGCTCTTCTAAAAAGGTTCAAAAGATTTGAAACAGTCACCTCTGAACTAAAATGTTGTTTGAAAATCTAGAAGAGAAAAAATGATCCATGAACAAATTTTTACTTGCTTCAAATACATATAGTAGTTGTTAAATAACTTTAATAAAGAATTAATTAAAGGGCCTCCCCGGTGGCGCAGCAGTTGAGTGCTGGGTTGTGAAGCTGCCCGCAGCCTTTGCAGCGCCGGTTTGATCCCCGGCTGCTCCCCGGGGAGGAGGATCCCACATGGAGCGCAGACGTCTCCTGCCACCCGCTGCTCCCCTCAGCAGTGTACTTCGGTCTTTCTGCCTGCTCTGCTCTCTGCTCCCCGCTCTGGCTCTGGTGAATTCTCTCACCCTCCCACACTTCTGACTGTACCCAGTGCTTGTATAAATAAATAAATAAATAAATAAATCTTAAAAAAAAAAAAAGAATTAATTAAAAAGAATTGATTTCCCATCTTAGTATCATTTAAAAACTTTGAGAGTAATTTCTCAAAAGTGGCATACATGAGCCACCTTCCATGACCCCAAGAAATTTATTATTGATAAAAACTCACAAAGCCCTTTCCCTTTTAGAACTTTCACATATGTATAGAATATACGTGTGCGTGTATGTGTGTATAAAACACAAAATAAACTGTGCAATCTAATTATACCCAGGTTTGAATTAATTTCTCCAACCAGGCTTAAATTTGTGCTTTCAGGGGAATAAAATTACAATGGAGGAATAATTCCCAAATATACTCCTGCCTAGAGCAGACTGAAAAGGGCAAGAAAATATTTATAAATATAATGTGTATTTCAACAAATAACAAATTCACTCACCTCAAAAGCATTTATAGCTGACAAAACAACATCTATGTTATCATCACCTAATCGAGTTAAAACAGCTTCTTTTATGAAAGACTCATCAATACTCTCCTGTGCAACAGAAAAAAAAAATTAATTTGGAACATAGACTCTGTCCTGGATAAGAATTACGACATTCTAAGAATACTTGCATTGAACTAATCTCTGGAGTAACACTTAAGATGACTAATTGCTTGGTACAATTTTTCCTAGTTTCCATTGAAAATATAATAAAGTACATATAATCCAATATAATTTTTGCATTAAAGCATTCATTCAACCGTTAAAATTAGAACAGACTAAAGAGTGTGTAGACTAAAGAGCCACAATGCACAGGTTTAAATTCTAGCTCTACCACTTACCAGCTGTGTGACCTAGAGCCAACTACTTAACATTTCTTGGCCTCATTATCCTTGTTTTAAAAAAAGGCTAATAATAACACCTACCTCAAAAGGTTACAGGATTGAATAATAATTGTCAGTGCTTAAAACACTGCCTTACACATACTAAGTACTGTTAAAGATCCGCTATTAACAAGATTTTTGTAAGGATAAGGTCATGTACTAAGAAGTCCTCAGTTTAAAGTAAAAAAGAAAATAAAGCATGTAATCATTCACAATAGGCAATAAGACTGCTACCTGAATATATTTTTGCTTGTAGGTGGTAGGGAATAAAACAACTAAATAATTACACACACACACACTCACACACACACACACAAAAGTAGCTTGCTGGTTTGGGAGACAAAACTAAATGCTAGAATTCACAAAACTGATGTCAAAAGTTTCATATATCGGGCCTTCCTGGTGGCACAGCGGTTGAGTGTCGTGCTGCAAAGCTGTCTGCAGCCTCTGCAGCGCTTGTTCTATTCCCCACTGGCCAGGAGAAACCCACATGGTGAGCAGACCTCTCCTGCCTCGCCCGCTGCTCCCAGCAGTGTCTTCGGTCCATCTGCCTGTTCTGCTCCCCGCTCTGTCTCTGGTGAATTCTCTCACCCTCCCGCGCTTCTGACCTGTACCCCAGTTCTTGTATAAATAAATAAATAAATCTTAAAAAAAAAAGTTTCATGTATCAATCATCACCAAAATTTTCTCAAGATTTAACAAGTGGCTAAATATCTCGCTGTCAATTTGTAGAATAGAACCTAAGTTCTGCCAATGGTAGAGAATGGAAAATTAAAAGAAAGCTATCTGTAAGTATAATAGGATTGTAAATTGAATATAATATAATGTCCTGTATCAAGAAAATCCAGAGGAAGATGGGGAGGAAGGGTCAAAGGCAAAAGACTATGAGTGCTTAGTTGGGGGCTGAAGTATAGTGACATGTATCTGAGGAGGTGAGAACCTATTCTCCTAAATGATACGCAGTGTGGTAAAGAAATATTTACCTCAATTTAAAAAATATAAATTTAAAAAAATGCAAATAACTGCTAATTAGGCTAAGCAGATTTCTTCTGTGTCTATAGAACATTTAAAAAACTTTGTGTGTGAGATATCATTTAAGTCACTTGCTGTGTTTTCTTTTGGGCTGTGTGTTGTTTTGTATGGATAACTGCTTCTCTATCTTGCAGATTTATTTTCCCACTTGGTAGCTTATATTTTATACTCTTGACGATATTCTAAACTAAATTAAAAAAAATAAAAGGATGATAATTGTTTCAGGAATATTATCCTTAGAATGTCTTTTTTTGTTCTAGACACTTATCTTCCTATTACAAGAACAATAACCCATGACTCGAGGCTATGCAACAAGTCCACTTAAAAGATACTAAAGAAAAATGGTAAGAAAATAAAATCAGTTGTAGACTAACGTATCAAAAATTGTGACGATACTTCTTTTAAGATTGAAGTTTGGAAAACAATGCCCTATTTGAATCACTATATCATTTTGGTATTAAGACATAATTTACAAATTAAGTCAAGTCTCTGTACTTACTGTTTGGGGTGACCAAAACTTTAAATACAAATGCAGGTACTGAAATCAAAGCTATCATTCTGATTTTCCCAAACATGCTTAAGTTAAAATGTTCAATGAAAGGATAAAACTATCACAAATGAAAGCCATCTGACACAAACCTTTGATGTTTCCATGATATTTTTCAGATGATTAATGGCCAGAAGTCGCACAGGAGCAAGTGGATGATTCAGACTGAGCATCAAGGAAGTATCAGAATCTGCTAAAAACTACAGGATTTATCACAATTACCAAATAATTTCATCATTAAGTTTGAGTAGCATAAGATCAAGAATAAAAATCAGAGAAAACTACTTCAGACTGCCCAGCATATTCAACAACAACCATCTTATTTCAGAACCCAAAATGTAAAGCAAAAGCTTTATCTCCAAAACATAGCATAAGTTACAACAGATGGAAAAAACACTACTGTTAACATTATTTCAAGTATACTGGAGTCTGTATGTAGGTTTGATTTAATGAAGTAACTCTAGGGAAGTTTGGGTTTATACTATCCCTACTTAAAACAATTTATTGAGGGCCTCCCTGGTGGTGCAAGGGGTTAAGTCTCACCACTATGAAGCTATCCACAGCCATTGCAGCACGAGTCAATGCCTGCCAGGGAGGTGACCCACATGGCACAGCAGACCTCTCCTGTCTCATCCACTGCTCCCTTCAGCAGTGTACTTTTGTCAATCTGCCTGTTCTGTTCCCCATTCTGTCTCTGGTGAATCCTCTCACCCCACACACCTCTGGCCTGTACCCCAGCTCTTGTATGCATAAATAAACAAGTCTTTAAAAAAAAAAACACTTTATTGAGGTGTGACTGACATACATATTTAATGTATACAACCTGATGACTTTGGAGATAAGTATATATTCATGAAACCATCACCATAATTTATGCCATAAACATATCATCTCCAATTTTATGCCTATCCTCTTTTATATTAGTACCATAATGTTTTGTGATAAGAATACTTATTGTAAGATGTACACACAGTAAATTCTTAGTATATAATACAATATTTTAACTACAGTCATGTTGCTATAGTTAAATTCCCAGGACTTACTCATCTTGCATAACTGAAACTATGGACCCCTGGGCAAACATATCCTCTATTTTACCTGTCCCCCCAATCTTTGGTAACTACCATACCAAGCTCAACGTCTGTGTTTGACTTATTTATTTATATTGTTTTTAAAAAACTATTAATTTGTCAATTATTTACATAAATACATAATTATTGGCAGATTTTTACATCTTCATATGTACACCTGCTTCACCTACCTTCTATCAAAATTTCTGTGCCAATGCCCTATCCCTTTAGAAAGTTATTTTGTAGTCTCTCTCTATATGATCCAAAGTGAAAAGTACCTAAGGTAAATCACTATATTATCAGATAAATAAAACATAAATTTAAAAATCTAATGACAAAGACAGAATGCAATTCCTCTAAATAATACAACAATGAAACTCAAATTAGTGACAACTTAGTTTTTAATTTTTCTAAGAGGGAAGTACTTCTATCAGCCTCAAAATTGGAAATGAAACACCATTAAAGATAAAAGTCTAATTATGGAAGAGAGAAACCGAAATAGACTTATCTTCATAATACTTATTTTCAAGACTAAATACAAGAACTGCTTAAATGTCTAATTTCTTGCATAAAGATTTGCAGTGAATTATCAGAAAATTTCATAAGTTCCAACGTGATCATAAAAAAACCTGTCTTCCTTTTTCTAATCAATGATGGAAACTGTCAGATGTGTCTGGTGGGCACTGCACTGGGAAGAGCACGTATAGGAGAAAGATAAAGAACTCAAAAAACCTTAACAAGATCACTGTTTGGTGATTGGTGATGAATATCATGTAAAAAATTTTCAAATAACACATTCTGAAATAAAGTATCACATCTACCATGTTTTAAAATTACTATATCTTTCTCGAATTTTCAATTTCTACCATGCCAGATAATTAGGTGAATGTACAAAATTTTATCTCTCCATGACAATTTGCAAAGAGAAAGAGGAGTAAAGTACCATATTTCCTTCCAAACCTCTTCAAATAACCACACAAATATATACCTAATTTCATGTTCTACTGAAGAAAAACTTACCTGGTACTTCCCTCCACTTGTAGAAAGAGAGATAAATTGGTGAAAAATCTCTTGTTTATTTAGATCTGAAATTTCCTTTAGGCGTTCTTCTAATACAACGTCCAATGTTCTGGGATATCTGGGAAGAATGATTTATTATTCTTAATAAGGTTATTAACCATAAACACTATACATGCATACAAGACATAAATTTTAAATTACTAACAAAGACTTAAAATTTTAACCAATTTTTTAATGAAAATCACATATTGATCAAGTTTGTTACTATAACTGTTCCAACACACAGTCTTTATATAAAAAAAAACTGTACTCTCTTGGTGGGAGTGCAAACTGGTCCAACCACTATGGAGAGCTGTGTGGAGATTTCTGGACCTACTAAACATAGAGCTTCCACAGGATCCAGCAATTCCACTCCTAGGTATTTACCCAAAGAACACAGAAACATCAATTCCAAAGAACACCTGCACCCCTGTGTTTATAGCAGCACTGTTTACAATAGCTAAGCTTTGGAAACAGCCCAAATGCCCAAAAATAGATGACTGGATCAAGAAGATGTGGTACATATATGCCATGGAATATTACTCAGCATTCAAAAAAGATAAACACATGCAATTTGCAGCAACATGGATGACGCTGGAAGGGATCATGCTCAGTGAAATAAGCCAAAAAGATACACTGCTTTCTCTCCACACCTTTAATTTCCCCGCCTTTTTAGAAATAAGCCAAAAAGAAAAAGAAAAATACCGGATGGTCTACTCATAGCAGGGATCTAGAAAACTTAAATAAGGGACCAGGAAAATGAATAACTATAAGAAAGTGAAAATCAAAATCAACAAAAACTATGAACCAGAGACACTTTTTGGGGGGTGGGGGCGGGAGGGGAGGATTGGGGTCAGAATGGGGGGATTGCAATTGTATGGGGAATATAAAAATAAAATTTATTAATTAAAAAAAAAAAAAAGGCAGTAAACTTCTAGACAGAATGATCAGGAAATTTAAAAAAAAAAAAAAAAAACAGAAGCTGAATTAAAAAATAATCTACTTGGAGAACCAATGCTGATGTGCTTAGATAAAAGAGGAAATAATTGTTTAACTTCATGGTAATTACTACAATTATAAAACTGCAAAGTGTTTCTTTCTTCTTAGAAGTTCTTGTCAATTAATAACCTGCTCTAGGCCTGTTACAGAGATTTGAGATTTAAACTTAATAAAGAAGATGATCTTGTGCTAGTTAAAAAAAAAAAAAAAAAAAAAAAACTGTACTCTCCACAGTCCCTATGCACAACTCTTATACTTCCTTTTAAATATTTAATTCTTATATCTCCTTTCCTAAGCAGGGAAGGGGAAAGGATAGTCTCTCTGTAATTCAGTGTATTAAGGTGTAACTTGTGAATTATTTCTTTATAAAACAAAAGGTACTTGCTTTAAATAAAGGGACACACACACAAACAACTTACTTGCTTTCTAAAAGTCTGATGAGTGGAAGAAACTGTTCATTAAGCAAAGACACTTTACTAAGATCCATTTCTTCCTGTGACCTACATGAGATATACTCTTCAAAAAGAAGGCTGCAAAACAAAACAGGCTATCAGCAGACATGAAGATTTACTATTTTTTGAGTATCTAGTATGATCTAAGTGCTTTAGAAATTTATCTCCAATTGTCATACCTCTATAAGTACAGAAAGTACACTTATTTTTACAAATATAAAAACTAGGACTAAGAAGTCTTATAATCTATCAGAGGTCAACTAGAACAGCAACAAGAGCTAATATCTGGTGAGCCCTACTGTGCAACAGAAAGTCAAGCCTGATTTTAAACCCCAGTCTAATTCCAGAGGCAAAACCTCAACAGTACTTCACAAGGATACTCTCACTTAAGTCACAAACAAACCCAGTGAGCAAGGTGCAGATACACTCACACCAACATATAGGTACCACTCAAGGTTAAATACGACAGCAAAATCAGACTGAACAGTCTGACTCTCAGAACTTGTTACCCTACTCTCCTGAAAGAGAGTCAAACCTCTGTCTGAATGCAGTGTCTTACCGAATGAAGTTGCCCTTCAAATAATAAAATGGGGGACTGAATCATCTTTACAGAAAAGGAAGAAATTGTCTTTACTTCACACTAACTCTCAATATTACACTGATATTTACTGAACACCAACTGTGATGTACTGTTTCGGGAGTTTTACCTTATTTATTAATAAAAATTTTTGAACAGCTACAAAATGCATGTAGCTATATCCCAAATTGAGTTTAAATAAACTTTTCATGATTATATGTAAGTACTAAAGACAAGCAAGACAAATTATTTGATTATTCTGTTGCCACAATTATTGGACTAAGTACCTATAATCAATGAAATGATAGAGACATAGCAAAAATAAAAAGGGATACTGGAAAACTGCTAACCAATCCTGAAAATTATACTAAACTACAAATTTACAAATCAAAAATAATAGCTTAGGGGTCTCCCTGATGGAGCAGGGATTAAAGTCTTAGCACTATCAAGCTATCACCAGTAACTGAAGCATGAGTTCGATCCCCCCACCTGGGAGCTAACCCACATGGTGCAGCAGACCTCTCCTGTGTCACCCACTGCTCCCCTCAACAGTGTATATCAGTAGATCTGCCTGTTCTGCTCCCCACTTTGTCTCTGGTGAATCCTCTCACCCCCAGTATCTCTGGCCTACACCACAGTTCTTGTATGCATAAATTAAAAAAAAAAAGCTTAAAAAAAAAAAACCTTACCTAGCCAACATATGGTCTAAGTTGTTCTTCAGTGATATATTAGTCAGTATAGCTTCTAAGTGTCTCCTGTAGATCTGACCATCCATACCTTCAGTTTCTTCTCCTTAATACACAACATATTAAAATTGATTGGGAGATTTTTTTTGGTGTGTTTATACTATCAAATTTATTTAGAGCAGAAGATTTTTCTTAGGAATAACCATATTCCACTTACTCAGTATATTCCAGTTACTCAGTCATATTTTTTAAAGCATATTTGTAAACATTACCTTTATCTGAATTCTCTGTAATATTTAAGAAATAAGTATTATCATGCCTGAATACAAAAAAATAGTTTCTCCCCAGGTTACATTATAAGTGGCGAAGTTGAGAAATGAGCCTAGATCTCAATAAAGTGTCTCTGAAAACAGGCTCAACTTTTACTTCAGTACCTCCTTACTGAACCAAGTGGGTTTTATCAATAGTCCTGGGATCACTATGAGAAAATGAAAGATACATTTTCATTTATGTTAGTCATATTACTGAAATTTGGCTAAACAAACCTTATTTCCAACACACTGACATAATTTTAGAGATGTTCTCTTAGTATGTTTTTTCTTAGTTCAAGTAGCAATAGGACCAAGTATTTATTTCTTCATCTTTCTGTATTTATTGACAAGTTAAACAAAAATATAATGCAAAAAAATCACTAATTTTATCTTTTTTTAAATTGGTATTTTTAAGCCTGAGATTTTCTTGATCTTACATTTTTTTAATGATTCAAGGGAAAAACCAGTTACTTATTATAAATCACTCAAGTTCATTAAATATCTACATGAGAAGATACGATTGTTATAGAGATAATAGGTATAATTGGTATAGATATAATTGGAAAGTTATAATTGGCAACATTATAACTTTCAAAAAGAGTTCCAGTCTTTTTCAAGGAGAAACAATTGAAGGACACAGATTTTTTTAAAAATAGAGTTATAAACTTACAACTCAATTAGCAAGGATCTCTTATCAACCAATCTGTGCCCCACCCCAAGAGTTTCCATACAAAAGGAAAATAGACAAAGTACACAAAAACCAATTAGCAGAAGTTTCAAACATCTTGAAGATATTTGAAGGGTGTAGTTCCTATTTTAAAAGAGAGTAAGTTTTAGGACACAAAATGTGAAAGCACATACCTGCCACGTGATTGATGATGGAGATAATCAGATGGGGAAGCATGTAACGCAGAAGAGGACTGATGTCATATTTTTCAGAAATCCCTTGAAGTATTGTAATAAGATCAGGAACATTACACAAATGAGGAAAGGGCCTTTGAAGAAGTATAGAATGTGTTGACTTTACAAGTTAGAGAATAAACGCCAATTTTTAAAAGAGAATAACATTTATCATATAAAAAAATTACTCAATATTATTTCATTCAAGTCTACTTATTATCACTTCTCAATTCAATTGTACTTACTTTTTCCCAAGGCTCTCTGGTTTCTGTCGCTGCAGGAGCACTATCAAACAACCTAATCCATCCTTGATCAAAGAGGGAATTTTGGTCAATGTTCTGATGATCTGTGAAGCCAGTGAATTAACAAAGGTCTCTTCCATTGTTACTTTCACAGAAATCTGACATATTATCATGTATGTTGCAGCTCTGTAATCTGGTAAAGATGATTTCAATCCCTAGATTTTTTTTTTTTTTAATGAGGAAAAAGGAAAAACTAAATTATTATTTTCTAGCATTCTTAAAATGTTACTTTACTATTGCAAATCAGAAATGCCATAAATGAGAGATTAATAAAATCTAAGAATCGATCATTCCTTACAAGTGTACAATCAAGATGTTGAATTCTTTTCCTGAGCGGATATAGAGATGAGACAAATCTCTTGATAGAAAAAAGGGATCTCTAAGGTACTTCAACTTAAACATCCACTACACATCCTAATGGACGCTTCTTTTATATGCAAACTCATAAACTGTGTAAGAGAGATTGTGCAGAAACAGAATAGTGTTCATTCAAGATAAGAATTTTGGAACACTGGTGAGAAGCAAAAGCAGTACCTTCATGGGAATCTAGTAAGGTGGTAGGCAACAAGGCATTTGGAAAGAAGAAACATTAAAAAGGTTAAGTCAGTGCAAAAGGAATAAGAGCATTTATGCTTAAAAGATATTTCAATCCATTCTCTTTCCAATATAGAAACACAACTGCTAAGAAAATAGACGTGGGAGACAGTGGAAGTTCTAAATTGCCAACATTTATTTTTTTAAGGACCCCTACTTACGATCCCATTCTGGTAGGTTTTTTAAGACAAAAGTCATGGTTTTTTTTTAACAAAAAATTAAATGTCATCAACTACTTGAAATAGTCAACTTTAAAACATTTATGTATAAGTGAAACTTGAAAGCAAGAAATTCCTTCAAATACAACACAATATACTTTACACATAAGCAAGACCAACCTTTTGGAGATAGGGAAATAGCTTGGCAACTACATTGTCTGAGATGTCCTCTGCAGTCACTAAAGCAGACACGATGGTAGAAGCATAAAATGTTAAGAGCACCCTCAACTGAGCTGAACTCCCAGGATACTCAGCAAATACCTGCAACAAAAAACACAAATAAAACATGTTGAGAGTAAAAGGCCAATCAGATAAAAATATTAAAAGAAAATACAACCCTCAACTACTTTAGGCTGAGGTTTTAATTTTCACATATGCAACATTTAACACACAAATTTAATCATTAATAAGACAAGAATAAAACATTTTAAAATTATCTGTTTAAAGTCACTTACATTAGATTTTGCAAGAACATAATTAATTTTTGTAGATAGATACCTTTAATGATGTATGTCAAATTGTTTATGTTCCAGAACTGATCACTTAACATAGGGAACTTCTTTAAGTACCACTGTTAATAAGGAAGGCGTTTTTTTTTTTTTTTTTTTTTCAATTCAGAATGCTTTTTTCATTTAGAGCAAGCAATCTTATAATGGAATTGTATGTTCATGAAACAATATAGTTCTTACCTTCACAGATTTTGTCACCAGACTACAAATGAAATCCATGAATCCAAGATCTTTGTAGCAGTGGGTAATTAAAGTTCCTTTAGCTAAGGGCACTCCAGATTGCTGTTATAGATAGAATCAAGTATTATTAAGGATATTCATCAACTGATCATTATTTTTAAAGTAACTACCATACTAACAGTTTTATAAGGGGGCAGTTCACAAACAAAAAATATTGTCTCTCCTTATAAATGGAGGTACAGGTGAAATGAAGGGTGAAGGACTCTGAAAAATGTCTACTTATGTGTGATATGTATCTACCTAATAAGGATTCTCTAGTTTCTTAGCAACTCTACTGGTAGATTTGGATTATGAGTCAATGTGATGTGGTCTTGTACTGCTCTACAATAACATTAATAACAGAAATAGACTAGAAATCCAGCCAACTTATATCCTGCTAATCCTCATTTAGCATTGGGCATGGCATGTCTTAGGTATTCATTACTAATAAATCAAAAAAGAATATGAATTGAACTTTAATACATGAGTGCTATTTGGATACCATATGAAATAAATGTGCCAAGAGTAGCAAGGCCTGTGTGTAAATTATGAAAAAAAAAAAATAATCTTGATGTTATTAGCAGAGTAAATGTTGAGCAACTTAATAAGCTTAACTATAGGTTGATTTTCTCTTCTTGAACATTCATTAGGTCAAGTGTTTCACATCCAAACTCTTAAATTCTCCTTCTAATTAAAAATTCCCATTTCTTTCTTTTTACTAATTCTAATCTCTGACCTAACTATCCTCATGAATAAAGGTAACTCCATAGTTCCCACAATCTATTAGTCTACTTTCATTCCTATTTGCTCTCCTCCTGGTCTAAACTGCATGCTCTTTGTCCAAAAAATTCATGCTAACAAAATACATCAGTTTTTCTCTATTATTTGTTGCAAATAAAATGATGACAAGTCAGATGCTTTACTACAAAACTGTGCTATCTAATCTGAGCCATATATTTTTGGTAAGACAACCATCCTATTATTCATCATAAATTAATTTCTAACATCTTCTTTACAACTTTAGTATTTCCTGTAGCCCTTCAAATTATTTTCTGCTTTTCTTCACATCCAATCATTTTTATGGTCTTGAGTTTCAAAATTTAAAATGCAGACAGCAGAGTACAGTAAAAAGACATAAGCTTTAGAAACATATCTGGATTCAAATTCCAACTCTGCCACTTTATAGCTATATAAACTATGGTAAATAACTTACTTCTTGGAGTCTATCCTTCTCTATAAAATTTTTTTGTGTGAACCCAACAGATCTATTTGTCTGTGTATGTACACATATATACACACACAAGATGCAAATGCCTAGGCTAATGTCAGGTATTAAATAAAAAACAGCCGTTATTCAACGGAAGTGAGGTCATAAACGTGATGGAAGCTGTATCTGCATTATCCTCAGCAGCACTAACAAACTGATTATTTCCAAATTATATCCCTGAAGGTCTGTAATGTTTAGATAAGTCATTCAATAGTCATACCTTACTTGGCAGCAACCAGAACCATTTGTGTTTTGAGTTATTAATTTTTAGAAGTTGTATAACCCGCACAAATATTTTGGTCTCATGGTATGGCAGAACACAACCAATGAGGCTGTCTTGATTATAAAGATGAATATGGAACCTGAGAGAAAAAGCAAACAATTCAAACTGACACAAACCTTTATAGGCACATATTTTCTTATGTGTCAAAATTGTACATCATTTTTTGAATGGGGATTATACAAATATCTCCCCATAGGAATGCTGTGAGCATTGAGATAATGCACACAAAGTGCTAACCACAAGGCCTGGTGTATAAATACTTGATATACACAAGTTATTATTATTTTTAAGTAAAGGTATTTAGAGAATACCATTACTCTTTCCCCAAACCATTGTTTATTATTTTGGCAAGAAAAGTTTAATACCTTTTGCTCCAAATATGCAGTAAGAATTTATAATGGCAAAGTGACATGATCTCTTTTAGAACTAACAAGGTTGGATTATTTATTCAAGATCTTCAGTAATGCTACTTTTTACTATCAATAAAAATGAGTTTAATAAAAGGGCATGCTCATCTGACCTAATATGCATCATGTTAATCTTTTACATATCTAACTTTTTAGCTTTAAATTGATGTGTCCTTATTACTTAATTTTTTTAAAAGATCAAAGTATTTAACTTATAACTATTTCTATAATTCCATTTACTACCTGTGAATTAACCACTCCAGACACTTCTGAGCTGGTTTCAGCAGAAAGTAAGGAGACAGATGAATAAGGAATAAAGAAATGTTTTCATCCAGCTGTTTGTTCACTGCTTTGGTCTGAACACTGCGCTCCAAGGTTTTCGCTAGCTGGCTGAACAGCGGTGCTTCAAATTGCTCAAAGGAAGGGTCGATTCCAAGCAGCTCTTCTAGGCCAGTGCATCCTAGAAAAGGGGCACTTTACTTAACAATTCATTGCAAGAGAACGCAACTCACCACACTTTTACAGTTTTACTTACCCCTAAAACTGTGAATTCTTTAAACATGAAACACAGCCCCAAACAGATTTGTCCTTTAGAAAATAAATCACATCTCGCCAAATGGGAGAAGAGAAAGTACTTCTTGGCAGGGGCTGTACTTTTTTTTCTTTTAATATCTGCAACAATAACTGGCCAGTTATTGCAAAGGCCAGTTCCCTGCGAAGACTCTTCCTCCACCTCAGCCACTGCCTTCAGCCCCTTTTGGTTGTTCTGCTCTATACATTAGATGACCTCCCTAACTGTTTCTCCACATGACAAGTTCACATGCACCTACCTTTATACATTACAAGCATCTAACACATGGCTGTTCTCTCTCCTTAACAATACAAATCAAGTTAGAAACTGCTAAAGAAGAGGGCGGGTCAGAAGAGACTATAACCACCTCCAGAAAACAAAACCTTCAAGGAGCTTTTTCTAAGTTAAAGGGTAGTTTACCAATGGCAAAAACGGTGTCTCTGTCGATGGTGGCCGCTTCCTTGGGGTCAAACAACAAAGAGGCAACTTCATCTCTAGACAGGAGACTGGGATCACTCTGAGGGAGGGCGAGTCGCTGAAGCTGCTGGGCTAAAGACGTCATCTCTCACGCCAGGGGATTTTCTAAAAACACAGGCTAAGAAACATACGGCACGTGAGAAGTCTGTACGAAAACGATCAAGGTGGTTTTACTGCAAGCAGCAAATGCCCTACGCAGAAGCAACCTCCCTCTGCACTCAGCGCTGTCACTGATCCAAAACCGGCGACCCCAGGACTCCCGGACTCCGAAGGCGCAAACGCTACATCCACGGCGATCACTAATTACACCCCCTGGGGCCGCGCCAAGAAGGCTGTCTTCAGTCCCGACTCCGCCGACGCCGGAAAACCCGCGGACGCTTTGCTGTGCCCACTATACCGCGCCGATTCACGGTACTTACTGAGCCGGAGGTGACTTCGGGCAGAACTCAGTCGCTCACAACGCTTCACAGCAGCTCCCACATGGTACCCAGGAGTCCAGCCCTCGCCCGGAAGTCCACAGCACGCCTCACTCAAGCTTCCGGTCTCCGGCACTACGGCAAGACAAGAGGTACAAACTTGCCGGAAATGCGAACAAATGACTCCGCCTCCCCGGGCGAAGCCCCGCCCCTCCGCCGCTCCAGCCCCTCCAGGTTCCTTAGTCTTGCTACCTGCGCGCTTGTTTGTGCCTGAAGTTTCTGTCTGTAGTTAGTTGGTGTTTTGTGAACTTTACAAATCTGTAGCCGGAATCATTCATTCAGCAGATATTTATCCAGTTTTTACTTTGTTTTTTTTTCTTTTTTGTCTTTATTTATTTTTATTTTATTATTTTTTCAACAATATTTGATTCCTCCCACCTCCTCAGATTGAATCCCTATAGAATCTCCTTCACCAAGGCACCCGTGCACCATCACTTCAGTCCCCTGTGCTCCTCCTTTTCTCCCTCTGATCCCTCTCCCTCCTCCTCCCCTGCAGGATGTCTCTGATTTATAATTGTCTGTTTTTGCTTTGTTGTGCTTTGTATTGTTATTATTATTTTTTTTTTTTACACTGATGTCTTATTTGGTTCCCGGATGGTTTTGTTATAGGACAGGGAGAGGGGCAGCCCAAACCCCGCAAACCTGCCTATTCTAAATGGGTTTTGCCATCCGCCGCATCAACACAAAACATATGAGACTAATGGGAAGGATCTTTAATAAAACTAGGAAACAATACAGGTAAGGCAAAGAGTCTAGTTTCTAAATGAAGCACCCAAAGTTACCCGTCCCCTCGTGGGTAAAAGTCCATCCATATGGGAATGGCCCAGAGCAAGGCCCCAAAGCCTGCCACAAGTCTAAAGCATCTTCCAGTGGGGACCCACAGAAAAGGGTCAGAAACAACCAGACAAGCCTGGAAGGAAAAGAGCAAAATCAACATCAAGATAAAAGCTGCCATTGTCACCACCCCATGGGTCTCACCCACATCTGTGTCACCTAGTCCATGACCAAAAGGCAAGTACAGCTTCTTTACTTGTCTCTCGGCTCCATGTGCCTCCTCCAGGTCTCCTACTGGCTCCATCCTGCTTCCTTCCTTCCTCATTCTCTTCTGCTGCTTCTCTTCTTCCTGCTCAGCTCCACCCTCCCTTGGGTGGGGCAGGGAACCTCCCCCTTTCCTGGGGACCACCCTGTTACAGTTTCACTCATAACAGGAATATACGGGAACCAGCTTTTACTTTGTATCAGCAGCATCGCATTGTGGCTACAACTTTGAGTTGTGAGGTCACATTACTTGGCATCAAAACCTGGCCCTGGTGCCTTTGGACTGTATAAAATCCTCCAAATTATTTCTTCTCCCTGAGTTTGTTACCATCTCTATAAAGCGTGATCAGGCTGAGGATTTCCTGAGATGAGCTATTCTCTAAAGGTTGGATACCACCACTTTTTTTTTTTTTTTTTGAGCTAAGGGTCCATCTTGTCATCACTGCTTTCCAGAAACGCAAGTACTGAATTTTTCTTCTTTTAAAAATAACTATAGGGCCTCCCTGGTGGTGCAAGGGGTTGGGTGCCGCACTGTGAAGCAATCCACAGCCTCTGCATCATGGATTCGATCCCTGCCCCGCCAGGGAGAAACCCACATGGCGAGGCAGACCTCTCCTGTCTCACCGCCTGCTCTCCTTAGCAGTGTATTTCAGTCCTTCTGCCTGTTCTGCTCCCCACTCTGTCTCTGGTAAATCCTCTCACCACCCGCATCTCTGGCCTGTGCCCCAGCTCTTGTATGCATAAATAAATAGATCTTAAAAAAACAATAAAGTTTTTTGGGGGGGCCTCCCCTGGTGGTGCAGCGGTTGAGCGCTGGGTTGCGAGGCTGCCCGCAGCCTCTGCAGCGCCAGTTCGATCCCTGGCCATCGGCGAGGGTCCCACCAAAAAATAAATAAATAAATAAATAAATAAATAAATAAAGCTTTTTTAAAATAAAGAAAGAAATAATAAAAATAACTATAATGTTAAGATAAAATTTAAGCACCTACTGCAGTTTAGCATTTCGATGAGTTTTGACAAATGAATATGTGGGTGTCAATGTCTCCCCATTCAAAACATGGAAAGTTTCAGCACCCTAGTAATTACCCTCCTACCTCTTTGCAGTAATGCCTACCCCACTTTTGGCCTCATTGGTCATTCTAGCGACAGTATAGATTAATGTTGCTAATGAGTGTGTCATGGGTATAGCACCATCTGGCATGTGCTACAAATGGGGTGCACTGATGTCTCCAGGAAGCGACACGAGATGCAGGAATGAGATTGGATAGCCTACCTATCTTTTTTTTTTTCTTTAAAGATTTATTTATTTATGCATACAGAGCTGGGGTACAGGCCAGAGATGCAGGGGGTGAGAGGATTCACTAGAGACAGAGTGGGGAACAGAATAGGCAGACTGACTGAAATAGACTCTGAAGGGAGCAGCGGGCGAGACAGGAGAGGTCTGCCGAGTCATGTGGGTTTCTCCCTGGCCAGCCCTGGGATAGAACTCCTGCTGCAGAGACTAAGGGATTGCGTTGTAGTGCAGTGCTTAACCCCTTGCGCCACCAGGAAGGACCAGCCTACCTATCTTTTCGGGATGCATTAATTTTTCTCAAGACTTGGAGCTCTTTGGTGCTAGAGTGTCAGTCCAAGTAACCCCTCTTCACTGAGAATTTGGGAAACAGTATAAATTTGGGGACTCCTATACACATGTAAATTCCTTCCCTTTCATTAACACAATCTTGTTGTTTTGGCTTTCCGAGCATTTAAAGTAACCAGGAGGTCTCTTCACTTATTTCTACACAGTTAATAATCTTCATGTTGTGTTTATTGCCTTGCAGAGAATAACATGATTCCTTAAAATTCCGGTGGTATCCATCCATCCTTACAAACATCTCTCAAAGGCAGTTTTTTGGCTTCTAATGTGGCACAGGAATTTTACCTTTACAAAAGCAATCACCTTGAGCCTCCCCTGGTGGCGCAGTGGTTAAGCGCTGGGCTGCAAGGCTGCCAGCAGCCTCTGCAGCACCGGGTTTGTTCCCTGGCCACTGGCAAGGGTCCCACAAAAAAAAACAAAAAACAAAAAAAACAAAAACAATCACCTTTGGGAGAAATAAAATTGGTAGAAATAAAAGTAGCAAAAAATGAACAATAGGCCTATTTTATAGACAGGACATATACTTTTTCATTTAAAAAATCCTCAATGTATTTTTAAAAGCTTTTCCAAGTGAAAATAAAAAGTGCTGCAGGTGTTTGGTTCAGTCCTCTCTATGTCAGTTCTAATCGCATGTAGTGCCATGCTGAATTTTACTTTGGAGCTAAACTAGAAAAATAAGAAGAAAAGTTAGAGATATGGAAATTTTAAAGTGTTAGTTAAAATATATACAAGTAAATCTTCAAAATCCTTTCTGCCCATCACATAGAGCAGAGTTATATTTTATTCATAGCATTTACCTGAAACGATCTTATGTTTTTAGCAATTTGTTTCTTTTATCCCTATGGAGTACTCTCTTCGTGTAAGCTGACCTGAAACCTGCCCCTAAAATTGTGGACCCTGAGCAAGAGTATACATGGAGACTCATCTACTGTTGATGTAAATATCTAAAAGTTATGAGTCAATCTAGCACTGTTAACTAGACTATAATCTCCAATTTGGACAACTAAACAGTCTGGGAACAGTGTTGACTAGCTGGTGGTTTTGGATGAATAATAAATACACATAGAGCTCCTGTGTATTTAGCCCATAAAATTTTAACTTTATTTCAACAAAACCACCAATTATGTTGCTTAATCCAGATTTTCATGAATTGTGTTCTGTTGACAAAAATAATTAAAAAGATTAAAAAGTAAAATTAACTATATTTTAAGTGTACAATATATGTATTTTCATGAAAATATACTTTGTGTAAGTGCAATACATTATATTTCTCACTTGTTTTCAAAAGTTTTCTTCTAAGAGGCAAAATATAGATTATAATGACACATTTATAAATAAAAGGTAATGTTTTTGATGAATATTATTTTTAAAATATTTCCCAAAAAATTAGTCACAAGTTTATTTTCTAATGTCCACCTAGTTGCAAATGTAAAGAATTAATACTACCCTTTAATCATGTTCCATCTGTATCTACCTTTTGTCAAATATGAGTCACGTGAAGTTTTTATTTTGCTAAATGATCCTCAACTATCGTATGCAATTGTTGAGAACTCCACAGTAATTCATGAATACATCTAGAATTGTCAATTGGAAAACAAAGAGAAACAGAAAATATATTTTTGGAACTACTTAGAAATAATACTTCATCATGCAAAATATAATGTGTCATGCAGTCTGAAAGGAAAAGTATGACAGGTTAATCAATCTGTCTTTCCACTTACCTATGCATTCCCACATTCAAATCCTCCCTGTGTGTGCACCAGTGCTCAGAAGCAGTGTAACCTACAAGCCTTCAGAACATTCAAACAGGTTGTGTTTTATTTGAGGACACAGGCAAGAGGCATCTTTCCCTGAAGCTTAAACACACAAATCAGAAACTGGATATTTGGGATTTTAAATTATGCTACCAGTATGTTAAATGACTTTTTCAAGAGCTGATAGGTTCCCACACTTTAAAACAATTTTTTTAAAAGATTTGTTTATTTATGCATACAAGAACTGGGGTACAGGCCAGAGGTGTGGGGGAGTAAGAGGATTCACCAGTAGGTTAGGCAGGATAAGTTTGCTTCACCATGTGGGTTGCTCCATGGCCTGCTCCATGGGATCGAACTCATGCTGCAGTGGCTGCGGATAGCTTCATAGGTTGCATCTTAATGCCTTGCACCAGCAGGGATGCCCTAAATTAATTTTTTATATATTTGTGATATGTAGGGTGCAGGCCCTACTCTGTCCAAGGATGGTGTGGAAAATAGTTATGTCATGTTACTGCTGAATTCCCTGCTACAAAGTAAAGTACCTCGGCCTAGGTTCTCAATCTGTTCAAGAAACGTGTATCAGAAGTGAATGAAATCACATTGTTACAGTAATCACCTAGAATTATTCTGTC